ACGATCCCGGAAGAATAGACAAGCCCTTGCTCGATAGGATGGGCATGACACACATAATGCACAGGCTCAAGATGAAGTAAACTCAGAATACATCTGCAAAGCTCTCAGCTGATACCAATACGGTTAAGCGAGAATAAAAGCAAGACCATGTGTATAGGTGCCAACAACAACATAGCGTAACCAAGAGGATTAATTAGAATCGAGTAAAAAGTTTGATGCACAGCCAACGCATGTTTAATTCTCTTTGGTCTTCACCACCAGCAGGCCTCTTTCAGCTGGATTTTAAGAGCAAATATGTTGGCTGAATAAGCCACCATTCTATTACGAGTGTTTGTCTATGTTGGCAAATCGTGCCAGCGCAGGTGTGAATATTCAAACAACAATAGCTGATAGGTGAAGACTGTATCGAAATGTCGTAGAGTGTGAACAACAGCTTACTTTGAATGAACCACAGGAGCAATGTACGTGGGAAAGGTAGTTTTTCAGGCATAATTAGTAAGGCAATGGGAAATGTTAGCAGGTTGGTCTTACTGAAGCAGCTACAACGGTGAGTATAAACACGGTCATAAAGACAGTGGTCATGGCAACGGTATCATTGGTAAATGTAACAGTGAAATTACATTTGGTGTCGCACACAAGAACATATGCGCTTTGGTGTGCTGTACACATGGCCAAGAAGAGTGGAGATTGGTGAGGTTTGCAGGGACGCGACGACGATCCCACACAACTCAAGCCCAGAGAGTGGGTATGAGGGGGGGGGGTCTAATACATATGTGTGTATGTTTCCGCACTCTGACATATATATATATATATATATATATACATATATATACATATATATATATATGTATATATTTACATATACATGTATTATCGCCATCAGGGTTTATGAAAGTTCATACATGAGTGATGACCATGAGGATCAATACATTTTTCTGTATGCATGATATAAACACATATCTTACATAACGAATACAATAATTATATATATATACACACATAAGCAGATGCGCTGATGTATCGGAAGTCAAAACAAACAATGGTTGACCTCACCCGTAAAGCCCAAGCCTCTATCCTCTATCCTAGACCCCGAGTGCCAGTTGTTCACAGCACTCGGCTTCAGGATTAGGAGGCTTAGGTTTCGGTAATGTCGAGGTTTTGGAAGGAAGTACGTGCTAGGCACTTGCAAATCCCTACACGCCCCGCAAACAACTCCGAATGGCTTCAAGCTTTAAGCACCTCATGAAACCCTAAAACTAAGTCTACAGCCCTAAACCTTCATCTTTGACTCCGAAGTGACGAGTAGGAGTCTGCAGCTAAAATGAGGATCCCTCCTATACTTGCCCAACAGATTCGTCAACTATCCCAACCCCAAGACTTACACTGTCGACCCCCAAACCTTAAACCCGCAAACCCTAAACCTCTAAATCCTGAATTTTCATCGGCGCTACGCAGGATCCTAAACGCCAGAACCTGAGCCCGACAAGGGGAGCATCGTTTGATCATGTTCCTATGTGACAGTTCCCGAAAATAGGGGACCCTAATATAGCACCCTAAATAGTAGGATCCTTATTATAAGGACCCCAACATAAGGTACCCCTATTTTCGGAAACTCCCATGTAGAGCCCATCTACTAAACCCAGCCAGGGCCTCAGCCATAAGTCAGAGAATGCACCCTGAGCTCAGGTTGTAAGAGTCCATGTGCCAACAAAGTTGACTTTAGGGCTTATAGATATAAATATAGATACAGATCTATTTGTAGATATAGATATAGACACAGATATAGATACAGATATACTGTGGAACCACTATGAGACCGAAGAAAACTTACAGAGATGGACTCTTACGCCCTTAGCCTCATACCCTCACACAATCCCTCTAGTGACTCTGGTGTCCTTATGGGAACCCTTAAAGCACCCTCAAGGGCTTCAATAGTATCCTTTGAAGGGACATGAGGGAATCAACAAGAGGGGCTTTTAGGATTGTGCAGGCGATGGCTCTTGAGGAGGAGACGACGCCGGAGGCTGTTGCAATATGGAGGGGCGGGGGTAGTCTTAGTAGTTTGTGGACACAGTATTCAGGTTTAGGGTTCTGGGTTTAGGGTAGACCCCTATATAATTGTATTAGCATGGTCACCAAATCCGTATTCTCATTCTTTCGGCAGGTACGTCAGGTCCTTCCCCGCGAAAACCCCTCTGTGAACCCTACATCAGGGCCTTCCCAGTTCAGTGTGGGCTTGAGGGGTTACGGATGGTCAGAGGCTTCAGTTCTAATGCATAAACACTACAGGTTTCTGAACTTCTGAATGCGTAATACTGATAGTCGCTTTTTACGTGGTAAGTAGAATATCCCAACGCAATCCAAAGCACAAGTCTGCCCATTAAGGTCCCTCTTGTGAGATGAGGCGTTTGGGTTTAAGGTTTCAGGGTCGAAGGTTTGAGGTGCTGGTGGGTTTGTCGAGCTAACTTGTTTGCATCGCCGGGTATAGGGGCCACAACTAGATCTTCAGATTCTCAGATGTTTGTTGTAGTTTCTGTTGCTTGTTGGTTGTTTCTTGTTTGTGGTTTGTTGTTTGATGTGGGGGTGTCGATGTCGTGTCTTTTCTTTGGTATCAGTCTAGCATAGTCTAGCGATAATCTCTGGCCTCAATGCTGACCTGTCCGAGTTTACGCAACATTTGAAGCTGAATAGCGCTCGACCATACATCCTGCAGTGTTGGGCAATCCCTAGTACAAAAACTATATGCACCCCGCAAAGCAAGTAAGCCGTGGCAGCCCAAGACATCGTAGTGGAGCCGCGACACGATGTCACTCTGATCTATGTGGGGAATCGTGAGCGTCAACGTACGCTTGCTTTGACACATCATCCGAGATAAACGGAACTTTCAAAGGAACCCTTCTAGGGACCTTGAAACTTACAGGAGCCTACTCCAGGCAGCACCCCCAAACCTTGCCGTCTTGGACTAAAAGCCGGCGTTGAAGCATCGGTACGAGAGTATTGCTATGTTTGTGAGCCTTCGCCATGATTTGGTTTGGCTGCCATGATTCTAAGTTGTCTCAACGGTCGCCCCGCGCCGACAAGTATTTTGCCCTATTTTTGTTGTTGTCCCGCTAGCGTTGTATAGGATGCTGGCCGCTTCCTGTTTGATCCCGGATTCTGGTTGAAATCCGGGTTGCAGTCATGCACGTGACCCGACTTTGGAAGGAACTAGATGTCTGGCCGTGGTAGTAGACATGCTTCAGGCCCGGTGAGTGTGGCATATATATCCTGACAAACCTTGAACTGAACCGCACACCTCGAACCCTCTATGACTACAGAAGTCTTGAGGGTTCCCTACAGGGACTCGTACTAGTCACAAGAAGCCCAATTGGTTTCGGAGTTGGGATCCAGTGTACAAGAGGTTCAACTGCTCCGTGATCCTTGAAAGCGAACTTAGTAGTTGAGTACTTAACCTTCAACCTTTTGGGTTTATACAACCCTAGCATACATGAAAGGGTTAACCCTTTTTGGGTAGGATATTCAGCCCTTAAGTGAAAGAACTGCACTACATCGTAAGCACCTTAGAACCGTTCCCAGGGCCCTTAAAAAACCGTTCTGAACGCAACAGGAACGGGACGAAGACTGCAAGTCTTGCTCCAGTTACATTCAGAATCCTAAGCCGTCGACCGTTTACCCCTCAACTAGACAACACATGCCATTCTGCCTTTAATTTGCAAGCCTCTCCCTGACAACGGCGATCCAGCAATCAAAAGGGGGGTCACGGTTCGGAACCAGTTTAAACCCTTCGATCACCAGACACGCATGGAAGATTAAAGCCCTTGCAGCAGAACCCTGACAGAGCCTCATCTCCGTAATTGTCGTCTGGAAGGCCCCGAGTGAGAGGAAGTCCTTCGGTGACCAGGACCGCTTTGTGGGTTCAAGGTGCTTACGAAGGTTAATCACGGTTAATCCCTAAGGGCATACATTCATACGCATAGGAACATGATAAAACATGAAAAATGAGAATAATGACTGTGTGTACATATATATATATATATATACACACACTTTTCCGGGTTCATATTTTGAATCCTATTAGGTAATCCCAAGAAAGGGACTACTATGGGGCCTATGGGTCCCTAACCCTAAACTCTAAACCCTTAACCCTAAACCTTGAACCCTAAACCCTAAACCCTGAACCCTAGACCCTAAACCTTAATCCCTAACCTCTAAACCCTAACCTCTAAGCCCTAAACCCTAAACGCTAAACCCTAAACCCTGAACCCTAGACCCTTATTTAAGGCCTCTGAGGAAGCGGAGTTTCTGAATTCGGGGCCTGGGTTCTTCCCCGAGCTTTTGAAGCCACGAAGCTCCCCAGTCGCAGGGCTCTGTCGTTTCGCATGGCACGTCCCGAACTCAGCACAGGGGTTGATATAGGGCTTCTAGGACCCAGAGTAGGCCCTTATTCCCTTTTTTGAGGCTTAGGTTCCCTTATAAACCCCTTTAAACCAAAAAAGGCACCCTTTTTATTCCTAGGTTACTCTTAGGTCTAGGTTTAGGGTGTTTGAGGCTTTAGGGGTTTTGGGGTTTAGGGTTTATATAGGGTTTAAGGTTTTAGGGGTTGATAGGGTTTAGGGTGTTTAAGGGTTTAGGGGTTCTGGGGTTTAGGGTTTATATAGGGTTTAAGGTTTTAGGGGTTGATATGGTTTAGGGTGTTTAAGGGTTTAGGGGTACTGGGGTTTAGGGTTTATATAGGGTTTAAGGCTTTAGGGGTTGATAGGGTTTAGGGCTTAGGGGTTGACAGGGTTTAAGGGTTGAGGGTTGATAAGATTGAAGGGTTCTAGGGTTTAGGGTTTATGGGGTTTAGGGTTTCTAGGGTTTAGGGTTTATAGGGCTTGGGGTTTATCGGGTTTAGGGTTTAAGGGGGGGGGGGGTAGGGTTTAGGGTTCGGCAGACCCTGGCTTGCAGAGTCGGATGGCAGTACGTAGCGTAACTCTGTTTGCGACAGTAGCTGGCGCGCCATGCGCTTGCTTCTGCGCTTGGCAGTTTTGCGAGCTTCCACAAATGTCGCAGATGTCAGTGCCTGGCTGAGGCAACCCCCTAAACCCTAAACCCCAAACCCTAACAAGAAAAAGTTACTTCCAAGGCCGTCAGGGGATCATGGGAGAGGAGCTCCTTCGTTCAACAACACTCAGCGGCCCGCCTAGCCTTGACCAGAAGCTCTTGCTTCACAACACAGTGTCGGCTCAAGCGTTCGTTGTGTTCGATCAGTGTGTTCTGGAATTGGTCCTGAGCACGTTGCCCGGCGCGCCCTCCCCACGCTGCAAATATGCCCCGCTGCCGCGGCCAATTCGTGGAGGCATGAACCTTTGCCCTGGAAACTGAAGCCGGCCTTGCAGCCTAAGAGTCGTTCCGCCGACTAAAGCTAAGGCATACCGAGGCCCATCATACGGATGGTACTTTTGGTGGTGCTAGCTTTAGTGCCTAACAGACGTTCATAAGACTTTCTGATTTTTACCGGAACATCGTATGCAGAAAGTTATAAAGATCACAACAAACAACTCAAGGTTTGGAGTGGCGTTCTCCTTACACCCTCTTTGCAATCTTTTTAGCTTCACCTCTGTGTCTAGAGTTTCAGGATTAGGTCTAGCACTGTGATTTCCAGATTGACAATGACCCGGCGTGCCACCACCCCGCCTATCCCCACTGTACAAAACCAACACCGGCAAAAGCCCCCAAACCCTGAACCGCAGAAGCGTGCACTATCCTAAATCCCACATAAGTCTTGTAAGCCCGCAAACCCTGCCCTAACGCCAAAGCCCTGAACGCCGAGCCCGAGAAGAGCCCAATTCCTTAAATTAAGTTAGTTCGTGAACCCTGAGGCAACGAACAAATCCACAGAAAGTTCCTCAACTCCGAGAGCCCTACCTCCCAGAAATCCGACAAACAAGAGCAGAGCAAACTAGTTTACACCCAGTGCTTCCACATCCTCAGCTTTCCTTCAGACAATCCCACTGTTCCACCCAAACCACCCTACAAGCTTAAGCGTGTAGCATCCCCAAGAAGCACAGAGAGAGAGCGAGAGAGAGAGAGAGAGAGAGCAAAGGTTGCGTGTGTGTGTGTGTGTGTGTGTATATATATATATATATACATATACACTTATACTCATATCTGTATTTATACCTATGTATATATATACACACATACGAAACACACACATGTGTATATATATATATATATATATATGTATGCATGCTCACACATGCATTTGCATGTATGCATATACATATCTCCACATACGTCCATACATGCACGCATACATACATGCATACATATACGTACACATCGATGTAGATAAGATGTCGTATAGTAACAGCCTTGTTCGCAAGAGCTACTATCCGTTGGTATCGAGAGAACTTCACACTACACACAAGACATATCAGGTTCAAAACCAGCTCAAGCTTTCTCCCAAGCCCTAAACCCCAAAACGTTGTAACCCTGATACCCCTACAACACCTATAACCGTTCTAACCCGTATAACCCTTCCCTTATAACCCTTGTAGCCCTTATAGCCCCTGTATTGTAGCCCGAATAACCCTTACAGCCCTTATAGACCTTGTAGCCCTTATAACCAACCCTCAACCCTAAACCCAAGGTTTCAGACCCGGCAGACCTTCGTGACGGCGAGGTCCGCCTCGGAAGAGTTCTCCCAGGTCTCCCAGGACCGAGGGGGCGCAAAATTAGGGTTTAGGATTTAGGGTTTAGGGTTTAGGGTTTTCTCAGGAATCGCTATAGGGTTCGATAGGATTTGATGTCCTTCTATGATCCCACGGCCTACACTTTACACACTCCTGAAACCCTACAACCCTGAAGTCCTAAACCTGAATCTCATTGCCCTGAACTCACATACAAGACCATGTTCAGAATCTTCATCACACATAGCTCGCCTGTAGAATCCTAATTGTCAGGCAGCCCAAAGCCCAAAACAACCCTACCAAGACCTTTTCCTTCACCCCACCTCAACCCGTAGATTTCAGACCCTGGAAACCCTACATAAAGCCGAGAGCCCTCAAGCCCTAAAGGACGAAAACCTAAGCCCTCAACCCGGAAACCACCCCCTCAACCCCAAACTAACTGAATCCCTTTGTACATCCATGTAAAGAACCCTCATAACGAGGCCGTTGTCAGAGGCCTAAACTCCCAGCAGCGATAGCTTGACCTACCCTGAACTCCCTAGAACGGCTCCCTGGTCTAAAGCGACTCCACAGCGCATGGACTCCAGAAGTTCACAGTTTAAGCCTTGGCAATGCCCAGGTTCACAGACGATCTGATTTAATCGGTGTTGCTTAAGGCCAGCAGCTTTCACATGTCTATAAGCCTAAACCAAGCCAACAGATGGCCCCACTTTAGGGTTTAGGGTTCAGGGTTAAGGGCAAGTCTAGTTGCCTCCTATAGACGCAAGGTCGCGGCCCCGGGCATCGCTTGGAGCCACCCCTAGGCCCGAAATCCAGCATCACCCTAATAGGGTTTAGGGTCTGTAGTCTCCATTGTAGTTCCTTTTCTTGGTTTAACCGATTATATATTGGGGATCCTATAAGGTAACCCCCAAAAGGAACTACAATGGATACTATAGGTAGGGTCCAGGGTTTAGGGTTTAGGGTCCTAAACCCCCAAACCCTAAACTCTGTGGCAAGGATAAGAGTCCCAATGACTACGTGGACCTCAGCGCCGAAGAAGACGAGGAGGAGGACGAGGCACCAGAGGGCACTGCCTTAATACATGGAACAGGGTTGGGGTATATCATACTACACTGATAATAAGGAGCCCCCATACGTAAACCGAGAATGCTGTCGGGGCCTCAATAGTTACCAATGCTACTTTGGGGTTCGTCATAATCATATGGTAGAATATACCACAAAACCCCGTTGTTCTGATTAAAGCCCCCACATTGCAGGGGTTCAACGCCTCTGTATGTCAAAGCTCTCCCAGAGGGTCCAAGTATATCATCATGGGGCGTACTTAGACCCCCAAAGTGCCCTATAAGTATATACCAGGATGATACTTGGACCCTTTGGGTCTGTAGTGATTGTGGAACTAGAACACTGTACCTTGAAATCCTAAACGCTAGCCCTAACGGCAACTACACATTAACAACGAGACGCACGCAAAGGCCCTGAATGCATTACGTCGACCCGATGTAAAACCCATCATGTTCCGCCACAGCGCTTTTTTTTCCGGAGGGGGAGGGGGATCCGGAAATTAGGCTCCCTTCTAATCTAGCGCCGTGATAACAGGAGTAATGTACTCCAGAATGGAGCTTGTTTTCAGAACTACCAACTTGTAATTGCAGGAAGGTCCCAACCCAAATGTACACCATCGAAGGCCCGAACTATAACCCAAACCCTAAACCTGACAACGCTTCATTCATCGTCCTGCACTCGCAGAGCGCAATTTTGGCAAAGGCAACCCTGTGGGACTCCGTCCGAGAGGCCGGATTTGTGGTTTTCTGATTCTGGGTAATACATATATACATATATAACTATATATATATATATATATGGTTGTATACATATATATATATATATGTATTATGTATCTACAGGATTTGGGGCTTGGCTAGGGTTTAGCGAAAAGGTGCCCCTGAACTGCGTAGGGCTCAGGAATCTGCCGTAAATCATGGCAAGATTAATCCTTGACTACACTCGGAGGCTCGCAGGAAGATATGTTAATTCAGAGTCTTCGAATTTCTGGGATTCGGGGATTTCGTCTAGAGGGCTGCGGGCTCTTGGTGTTGAGATGTTGGGCTTGACGTTTAGCTTCTAGGTTTAGGGGTCGGGGTCTTGTGTGATTAAGGGTTGGCTTTTCCTGAAAAGTTCAGGGGGCCGCCAGTACCCGACTGCCCGAAGAATCATACCTCCCCCCCGCCTTTCTTAAATTCTAGTATTGACATTCCCTGGGAATCGATGCCTTGCGCGCTGTGTTCTACGCATCTAGTACCTCGAAGTCTGCTGGATCTGCCAATGGATCGGACGATGTCAGGGTTTGCGGGTTTAGAGTTTATGTTTTAGGCATTCAGGGCCATGTAGGGTTTAGGGATTCGGGTTGGGGGTTTCGGGTTTAGTTGTGTTGGCTTCGGCAAGATTCAGAAGCGTACGAGGAGAGTCAGATACTCCTGTTGTTGGGCGCTACTACCAGTAGCAAACGGTAATTTCATGTTGTCGTACGGCGGAGGCCAGTTGTAGCAGACTCTGTTCCGTAAGTCAGAAGGATGCCGTGCAAGGGATCGTTCGTTTGCGGAAGTATGCTCACTGGTTGTCGTGGCCCCGTTCCTACTTTAAGGGCCCATGTGCCAATGCTCTGGTAAAAGCCTTGATCTTTGGTGGCACTTGTCTAGTAAGTTACAAGACTAACGTACATACTGTACAGGAACAGGAACCCTGAGTACTAATCTGAAGAATGCCCTCGACCAACAACTAGTAGGTCGACAACAATAACTTGTGACAGCTGCCTCTTGCAGTTCTTTCTTACTTCTTCAAGTCTATACTATAATAAATCGAAAATGACATCCATCCCCTTCAAAATCCACTTCCGCTTATGCCGGGGTGTTGGAAGGTGCCTTCAAACCCCAAGAAAAGTCTGGAGCCCAAACGGAAGACACTCAGCGGTTCCCCCATTTCTTGTCCCGCCGCAGCTGGCCAGCGACCGCCGGGCACAGGGAACCGCGGCCCTAACACTGGGTGCGCACCGGCGAGATTTTTAGACTGGGGCTGTCTTTGCAGATGATAATGTCATATGGTGATCATGATGCTGATGGTGGTGTGGTGCTGGTCGTTGTGATGACCATGACGGTAATGATGGCGATGATGATGCTGGTGATGATGATGGTAATGACATTCCATCTGCCGGGCTGTGTTGGTGATGATGGTGATGGTTCGTTTGGTGGTGTTGGTGGGGGTGGGGGTGGAGGTGGAGGTGGCGGTGGCGGCGGCCGTGGTGCGGTGGCGGTGGCCGTGGTGATTCTATGAAAGGTAAAGATGCTGATGCTGCAGGAACTGGACTAGGTCTTGGGCCGGGGCTTAGTGAGAGCAGTGCCAACGATGTAGATATTCCACTGCGACAGTCGTGACTTTCTTTTCGTTCCTATGACCAATCCCGCTTAACGGCCGGCAAGTGCTACTCCTTCAAGCATAGTCAGCGTGAAGTAACATGAGGGCCTAAATAAGTACCGATACAAATGTGGGGGTTCCTCATCATGTATATTTCTAGTCCCATATACCCATGAAAAACCTTATTCTGATTACTAAGGCCTCTATAGAACTAGGTAGGATTGTAGGACATGTTTTTGTATTCCTTATTTGGATTTACAAGGGACCCTATATATAAATATTTTTCAGGGTGGTTAAAGGCCAACCCAGATAAGTTCCAAACAAGCCGGGAACCCGAGACGCCAATACTCCGACTTTTTCTTTGAGTATATCGTGCGGTTTAGGGCTTAGGGCTTAAGGTTTAGGGCTTAGGGCTTCAGGGTTTATATACCTAGACCCCCCAAAGTAGGTAAAATAGTGGCCCAATTTCTATAACAGGCTATTATGCTACATAGTTTTGGGGTCCAGGTAAGGGTTTACGGACTCCGTACCATGAGGGCCCAAGTCGTTTTCACTTTTGGCCCCAGGCATTTCGGGCCTCGCGGCTAAGATACTGTAGGAACCTGATTAAGAAACCCTGGCCCTGTAACCCCCAATATTTCAGGATTCACACGGTTGGTTGTCAAAATTAGGGTCCCTTTTGGGGTCCCTATTTTGGTACGGCACCTAATATTTATTTAGGGTACCCAGAACGGGACCATAATTTTGATAACCACCATATAAGGAACCCTAGAAAGGACCCCAAGGCTTCGTAATCAGGTTCCTACATTATATTGTAAGGAATTAGTATGGTGTCCCACCAGACTTCTTTCAAAGGGCCCAAGGACATGCAGCACCCAGCTACGAAATGCTGTGATCTCCTATGAATCCCCCGAAAAAAGACCTCAAAACTAAAACCTGTGCCAGGTGGCTACGTTACGGTTGGCGTCGTGGGTGGGACGAGCGGCCTGGTCACGGGAGGACCCACGGGGGTTAAGGCTTCAGGGTTTATGGATTTTCGGGATGGATTGCCAGGACTTTGGGGGGGTTTGTGCATGTTCGAACTCTTCGAACCGAAGTTCAGGAATTTCAAGATTTAGTGTTCAGGGCTTTCGCGGGCTGGGTTTCCCACCAACCCGAAAGCCCTACTAAATCCTGATTACAATACCCTCACATAGAACCTGGATATAGATCCCTTGATTTATGAACATCCTTGTATTACTGTAACTTCAGACATCCATTTCGAAACTCCCAAACCCTGAACGTTCAACCCTAAACCTTTATCGAACCTCAAAGCGTATTAGCCTCACACCTTAAAACCCTATAACCGTAAACCCCTAAACCCTAAAACCCATAAACCCCTGAACCCTAACGCCCTAAACCCCTGAAAGCCCCCATATCCTAGGTGCCCTGGGTTAAGCCCCACAGCCCTCGTGCAGGCACCGTCGGTACCGTGCTGGGGCTGGGCCCAGCGCTGGTTACAGCCGGGCCAGGGGCCTGGGAGGGATCGGCTTTGTTCTTTGTGGGCATATACCTATAGTCTCCATTAGTGATCCTAATTATATATTTGGTTAAACCAACAAAAGGAGCTACAATGGAGACTATAGGTAGGGTCATCAGAGGGCTATAGTGTTTTTTTGTTCAATGGGTTTTACAGGTCTTTCAGGCTTTGAGGGTGGTTGGGGTGTAATTAGGGTTTGCTTGTTGGGTTTAGAGCTTGGGTCTTGATCTTGGGGTTCAAGGTTGTAGGATGTAGGGTTCAGAGTCCGGCAAAAGGACGTGCGCCGTGCGGGCGCCCACTCACTACTCTCCAAAAGGATGTCGTCGAAACAGCCCGGTTGAGCCCCATAGAAGCCCTTAAGAAAGGATGACGAAATAGCCCTTTACGTGAGCCGGAGATAGAAGAGAGCTTCAGGTGTTCATGGGTTGTAGGGCTTCAGGCTCATAGGGTGCATGTTTTCTTTGTGGCTTCCCGGGCTAACGGCCTCCAGGGTTAACAGCTCAATGTGTTAAGATCCAGATTGTCACAGGGTTTAAGAGTTACGGGGAGGTAAAAATTAGGGTTTGTCGCTGGGCACCCAAACGCCGGCCTGAACAGGTTATCCGTGCCGGTGGGTGCAGTCGTTGGCGCTTGCACCGGGCTTTGTGTAGGCCGGGCTTGTACCGTGGGACGTCAATCAACAGGTACTGAGTACTTAAGGGCCTTATTGTAGCCATATTGCAATGTGTAGCATGCCCCCAACCCTTGTTCTTGTTATTCACACCCGTATGTTGGAGCCGGAGTCCTACTCTACGGGGTCAGCAGTCCCCAAAGTCTACAGCAAACTCGAGCAACTTGCACCATCGATTGAGCAGGATTGTTCCGGACATCTCTAGAGTTCTGCCTAAAATAACTTTGCGGAAGATGTGTATACTATATAACGTATATAACTATATGGGAGTTTCCGAAAACAGGGGACCCTAATACAGTACCCTAAATAGTAGGATCCTGATTATAAGGACCCCAAAGTAAGGTACCCCTAGTTTTCGGAAACTCCCATATGGTGCAGGGACCCTTAGGGTAAGGATGTCTCAGGCTTGTTAGGCGAAAACTGTACAGCAGAAGTCAGCAAGTCGGAATACCGTCTTCATGTTCTTAAACCCTATGCCTGAAGGGACTTTATTATGGGGTCCTTAAGGGGTCTGGGGCCCTAACTATGAGGTCCTTGGAGGGATAGGGTTAATTACCTGGGAGTTTCTGCAACCAGGGAACCCCAATAGGGAACCCTGAATTGTAGGATCTTTATCATAGGATAGCTTGTGGGAAGCTATACGAGAACCGCTGCAAGGCCGAAGTAAAAGCTCATGTAGGAGCCTGATGAAGAAACCCTGGGCCTTTCTTAGGGTTCCTAATATGAATCCTACTATTTTGGGGGGTCATAGGCCCAGAGGTTCTTAATCAGGTTTACAACACTATACATGAATACACGGGCCCCTTCCGTGACCTTTGGTCAGATGTAAGAAACGGCTCCCTAGCCGCAGGCCCGCATCAATTTAAAGTTTCGGGTGAAGGAGCTTTTTGGGTTTATAGGGGCCTTGGGTCTAGGGTTTACAGGGGTTTGGGGTTAAGGGATTACAGGGGTTTAGGGTTAAGGGATTACAGGGGTCTAGGGTCTAGGGTTTACAGGGGTTTAGGGTTAAGGGATTACAGGGGTTTAGAGTCTAGGGATTACAGGGCTTTAGGGTCTAGGGTTTACAGGGGTTTAGGGTTAAGGGATTACAGGGGTTTAGGGTCTAGGGATTACAGGGGTTTAGGGTTAAGGGATTAGGGGTTTAGGGTTTAGGGATCTGCAGATTGTATAGGGTCTTGAAAGTACCGTGTTCTATGGCCTGAGGATTTCGGATGCGGTGAATGGGGCTTCGTGGTACTGCCTGCATACCTGAAGCCTTGACTTCGTGCAGTAAGCCAGAGTATCCCGATAACTTATCCCTTGCATTCTCGGGAAAAGCCTTAAACCCTAAACTAGCTAGGGGTACATCGACAGGTGAATAAAATGTGATCCGGGCGTTCTCGCAAGAGGCGATTTAGGGGTTTCAAGCCGCAAATAAAGGTGGGTAAAAGGTGGACAGAAGGTAAATGAGAAAGCTGAAGGAAAGATGAATACATAGTGAACACAGCTGCGCCGAGTATGGCATGGTACCTCCCCAAAACCCACCATGCTTAAGCCGCAAAGCTCCGAGCCTGAACCACTCCAAGCCTGCAGCATGCAGACTGAGGCAGCCAAGCAGTGGAACAGCAAAGGTAGAGTTTGGGTACTGCCCCTAGTCAGTACAGTAACAGTTGGATAAATTCAAAATATATTATAGACTGTTACTATGGGGGGGCTGTACCCAAGGTAGAGTTGTCTTGTCTATAGTAGACCCTTCGGGAAGGTGTCTTGTACCATGAGCAGCCGGAAATGATGCTTCCCCCCAAAAGCGCCTAAACCCTAAACCCAAAAGTGCAAATGAGAAAGTTCACACATTCAGCCAGTTCTGGGATGCCAGGGATCAATCGTGTTTTCAACGGAAAGCAAAGTCCTAAAGCCCAAAACCCTAAGCCCTAAAGCCCAAGCCCGAAACCCAAGAAGGGCTTTACATGGCTCCATTCCCTAAACCCTAACACCCTACGCCCACAAAGAATTTCCCCAAAGATTCTTAATCCGAAAACCCTAAAGCCCTAAAATCCGAAAACCCTAAACCCGAAGCTAAAAACCTAAAACCCTAAACCCTAAATCCCTGAAGCCCTAAACCCTAAAATCCTAAACCCTACTAAAGCCCTAAAGCCTAAAACCCTAAACCCTAAAACCCTAAAGCCCTATACCTTAAACCTAAACCCTAAAGCGCAAAAACCCTAACACCCTAAAGCCCTATACCTTAAACCTAAACCCTTAAACGCAAAAACCCTAAGACCCTAAAGACCCGAATCCCTTTCGGAGGAGCTTCGGCGGGCGCTGCTACGGGGGCGGCAGCCGGCTTTTTCCTTGGCCGACGGGCCTTCTACAGAAGCCCGGACAGGAGCGGAGCCCAGCTTTGGGGGCGTTTTGGGGGGTTCAGGGTTTTAGGGTTTGAACCATTATAGGGTTTAGAGTTTAGGGTTTTAGGGTTTTAGAGTATAATTAATCAGGGTTTTAGGGTTTTAGGGTTTTGAGCAGTTTCGTTCCAGGGTTTAGGTTTTAGGGTTTAGGCAGCAGTTGTAGCAACTCTCTGGTGTATTGTACTGGATTGCACTGTACTACCACGAGTACCTAGTACTTGTACCATCACTCGCCCGATTCATGCTCGTTGGATGAAGGTGTTCGATTGAGCCGACATGGTTGGAGCTTTTCAAGCTATCAGCTTGGCAACTTCCGACTTTCTGAAGATAGGGACCCATGTTCCCTGGAGCTGTAAACTAGAACGAAGGATATGATATATGCAAGCTCGATCTACTGTTCTAGATTCGTGTATAAGGTTTTGGGATGTAGTGTTTGCAAGTGTCGGCTTTTCTCAGGCTTGAAGGTGACTTAGAATTGTGCTCAAGATGCAAATATCCTGAAGATCTTCACGCCCCCCTCGTCTCTTGAAAATCAAGCGCTCAGCTTTCCTCCACGCTCTCATTGCCAACTAGACCTCCTCTACGCAGCCGAAGTCCGGATCACTAGACCTTCGGAAGCGTTTCAAGCCTTACCCACTTAGGTGAAGCACCCCTAACCTCCACTATACCCTGCTGACCCATCATCAAATTGAACCTCACCCTTCAAACTCCGCTCAACTCTGAATCCGACTCTCTATCCCCAAAACCCCAAAACCATGAACCCCCCAAAGCCATGAACCCCTAAACCCCTGAACCGTTAAAACCCGAAGCCTTGAAAGGAACTCTCGCAGAATGCCCCTTTTATTAAGTATCGCCTTAAGGTTCTCCATTAAAAGTCAATCTTAAGTTCAATTTTAAGATAGGGGCCTAAAGAACTACCAGTACTATTTTGGGACTTCCTTCTTATAACTATAGTAACTATAGCATAATCGGCCCCGAAGCCCTATTCTGATGATTAAGGCCCCTAATTTTACCTTGTTTGGTGGTTTCCTGGTTTGCGCCGAGGCTGCAAAGTACCGTGGAGGCCGGGGTGCCGTCGAAGTGGCGAGGATCTGTAAGGCTTCAAGGGGGGTTAGGACTTTTGGGGTTGGGGTTTGGGGTTTAGGGCTTTGGGGTTTAGGGTTTAGGACTTGGGGTTAGGACTTTTGGGGCTGGGGTTTGGGTTTAGGATTCACGGGTTTGGGGCATGGGGGCCCTGAAGGGCGCGAGAGAGAGCAGCCCCGAATCCCAACTTGCGGCAGGGTTTAGGGTTTAGGTTGGTTGGTTGGTTGGTTGAAAGACACAAGTGTGACATCTCAGGGCAAAGAGATGAGGGGGGGGAAAGAGCCTTGGGTGCTTGCACCGACAGGTGCCCCGACCCCCAGAAAGCCGAAGCAACTACCGCAGCAGCGCTTAATGCCTCTGAGGGCCTCCTGTCTCAAGCACTCAGGTTTTCATGCCTCTGCAGGATGCCCGTGCCGTCGCCAGAATTGGCGCGCACCTTCGCATACGGCCCTTGCGAAAGCCACGATGTCCGCGAACCGCGGGTCACTGGGCAGTACAGCAAGATCTTCAAGGTTGCTGCAAGGCCTTCGTGCCGGAACTTGCTCACATCTGCCGATCACATGTGCATAGATGCTGGTGTACCTCTTGTTGCAGAAGATGCAGTGGCGAACGGACGCTCTGGATGGCTTGAAATCAAGGTGTCCTAGCATGATGAAGCCGCAACGCAAGAGCAGCAGGTCTCGGTGCCCCACCAGGGTCCCCCAAGGGAGCTGCAGGCGGAAAGCATCCTGTACCTGAGAAGATGGCTCTTGAGCGACAGAAAGGTACCTGAGAGGCACCACGTGTTTCGCCACCTGCATCTTCCACCTGGCCAGAGATACCTGGAAAACCACATCTTTCACATACGCCGAGTACGTGCCATGGCTGCGTCTGCAAGTGGACCACACCGGCCAGTCTAAGACTGTCCATTCCTCCAAAAGTATGAGGGAGGTCTTTGCCCAATTAATGGACTCAAGCAAATGAGCAGCTGAGAAACACGCCCCTGCAAGAGTGTCTTGATTCTGCAACCACAACGAGTGCCTAACGGAAGCGACCTCGATGACAACTTTACCATGTGTGCACAGCTTCCAGCCCAATTCTGCCCTGCAGACTTCTGCGGACCTCCAGCGGCTTGTGCCCAGCAGTAGCCGTGCCCAAGACGCGTATGCATCAGAGAGCACAGCGACTGCTTCGCTTTGGGTGCCCCAGAGCCAGCGGCCAAACCTGAGGGCAGCTTCTACCTTCGTGTCGAAAATGATGCACGCAACGGCAAGAGGGATGTGCCCGGAACGTAGCAGGCCACACAGAGCTTGCACAGTGCCGCTGCACATGCCACACGCCCTGCGAGCGTGGAAGGCAAAATCAGCATTGTCATTCCAAGAGATGCCAAGCCATTTGTGTGAATTTGTCCACGAAATAGGGCAAGGCATGCTCTGGCCCACAGGCAGGTAGCGCAGGGGCAGCACCTGAACTCTAGCACTGTCTGTGCTCGCAGGAAGGACCATGGCAGACGTCATGTGCTTGCTAGGGTTTAGGGTTGAGGTTTTGAGAAGTCCGTGTGCTTGCTTGGCCTGACCCTTGACCCTACGATCGTAGATCAGCATCACACCAGGAGCTACGGCCTCTTGTCCACCCGTAGCGCGAGACCCCGTAGCAAGCGGAAATTACACTGATACCGACGAGCACTGGTGCGAGGAAAACCGGGTAGTCATGGTAATGCGGGCGCTTAAATGATTGCCACCATTATTGTGGTGGTTCCTCTAATCTTTAGTCTTATTTTTCTTGTTTGCATTTATAGTATAATGGGGCCCGAACCTTATTCTTATTTTTAAGGCCCCTATATCATTTATGGTAAACAGCGATAGACTCGGAATGTCGGTGTTGTACGCTAGCACATGTCTGGGAACCACGCAGTAAGCAGTGCTGCCAGAAGAGGGTGATGGTGTTGTTGACGGTGATAAATGAAGTTGAAGCTGCTGATGGTGATTGAAATGAGTAGACGGAGATCATCGTCATTGCCGTCATCATCATCGTACTAGAGGCATCACCACAACAGAAACAACAAGCGTTCATGCTAACAGCAATGACCAAGAGACTTGGAGCAGACACATCCGGTACACTGCACGGTCCTATTTGTACTGCTACGACAACGCAGGTGATTAGAGCCTGGTGCTAGCAGCAGTGCACGTAACTAGTAACTAGTTTATCTGCTCAAAGCCCTTACAACGTCACTTGCTGGGCATTAGAGTACCATACTGACCATACTTTAATGCTTTGCTGGGGACTTGTTACTGAAAGGGGACCAGTATGACATGAAATTCTATACATTTCTCTCCCTGGCAACTTCACCTGGCAACTTTAAAGCCCAGCTTCAGCCGCGAAGCACCCACCTCCGCTGCAGGTTACAGAGGCAGCCCCTCCTGCCCCGGAGCCGTTTGATCATGTGCTGGAGACTGAACCTGGCCCAAAGCCCGACTGTTAGCATCTTCAGTGCTCTGAGCCTGAAGCCTAAACGCTAAACCCTAATGTAGGAACCTGATTCAGAAACCCTGGCCCTCCAACCCCAAAATAGTAAGATTCATATAAATAAGGAATCCTGAGAAGGGCCCATGGTTTCTGAATCAGGTTCCCACATGAAGCCCGAAGCCTTGAACTTTCAAGATAGTTTAGGAGACTTAAAGCTATGTCGAGTTTGTCCGTCAGTTGCACGACTCCAACTTTTTGTAGCTACAGCTGCGAAGTATATATCCCAGTTGAAGGTAGTTACCTTAAATCAGAAAACAGAGTTGTTGGGACGTGGTGTTGTCGCTGATTCTGATGGTGCTGCCGGGTTTAAGCTGCATGGTTCCGTACAGACACTATGCAATGGTGTTCTGACCTGGTCTAGCAAGCTGGAAGACAGATTTCAAGGTCTCAGGTGAGGCACGGCCAAGTTTAGTTTTGTTCTGCCGGACTGTCTATCTGTCGTGTTATACCTAGGTAGGCCTTTGGGACATTTTATTTTTCCCTTATTGGGCTTACTAGGACACTGTTTACGAAAATTTATCAGAGGCCTTAAAGGGCCAACCTAGATACTCATTCGGTATTGTCGGTTTCTGCTGTGGTAGCTGTTACTGTAAACGAGTTTTAGCTACAGTACAGCTCTCTCTTCCATCGCCGTACCTAAAACTGCTACCAGAGAATTAGTAGTAGAGGGCCTTGCTTACGAGGGTAGTGTTTGGGTATACTTTACACTGCAATTTCAAGAAGGACCCCGAGGAATGAGGTGCCCAATGCGATTAAAGGGCTCCTTATAAATCGAGTTATAGTAGAACATACTCCAAAACCCTAAACCCTAAACTTCCCTCAACCATCAACGCTAAACTTCCCTAAACCATCAACCCTAAACTTCCCTAAACCATCAACCCCAAACTTCCCTGAACCATCAACGCTAAACTTCCCTAAACCATCAACCCTAAACTTCCCTAAACCATCAACCCTAAACTTCCGTAAACCATCAACCCTAAACTTCCCTCAACCATCAACCCCAAACTTCCCTAAACCATCAACCCTAAACTTAAGTCTAATCATCAAGGCCCCTATCTTAGGGCCAGGTCCTGCCTTTCACTGCCAGACAGGCGTCTTGAGTTTTCGTGCTGGGACTCAAACCGCAAAAGTGGGTTTAGGGGAACATCGAACCTTCAGAGGCGCTTTGCTTCATGATTCTCCGTCCCTTCGGGGCAAACTCAAGACCAGTCGCCGATTGTCGCTTTCCAAGTGCCCAAGAGGGTCTGCGAAGGAAGCTCCTTCCCTGTAGCCCCGAAAACCTGCCTGGACGAACGGTATAGTTGTAAACTTGGAATATAGTATCAGTATAAGGGCTTAAATAACTACCTACACTACACTATTTTGGCGGGGGCTCCTTATTATAATTCTAGCATAGTGGGCCCCCAAACCCTATTCCTAATTATTTTAAGGCCCCACGTACGTTTGACCTCCCCATCTCCCTTCACACGGAATGGGGGTCATGGTGTGGATACGGCTTCAACAGCGGCCTGAGTTTCGTTTAGGGTTTAGGGCTTGTTTTGGCAAATGGCAACTCGCCCTGAGTATAACAAGTTGTCATGGTTGTTCAAGTAAATAAATACCTGTGACAAAGTACAATTGCCTTGCCCCTGTTTGTACTTTGGCCTGTGGGTTGTCAAGTTAGCTGCATAGGTTAAGATTCAGTTCCTTTCTTGCATGTTGAATGCATTCGGCACCAATCTCCATGTGGCACAAGGTCTGGCTTGAATAAGTGCGTACTGCATTCAGTAACTTTACTACACGGCTAACTTAGAAGCTCGCCACAGCACTCCTGAATTTCTCGGGGCATTTCGCAGACCAAATTCATTGACAGAAGGGGTTCCTGCAACGAGCCATCGCGTTTCGCAGCTCGGATGCAGCAAAACTGCGTGAAGCTCAAAATGGCACGGGACCGCGACCCTGTAAGTCCGCAACAACCGAATGTGGGATCCGCCCAAAGTGTGCGGCTGTAAACGTGTTCTCCACCATCACCCCAGTTCTCCACAATCTTCGAGGAGAAGCCTTCAACCCTAATCGACAACCACAACCCTAAACCAGAGTGTGAAGTTCGTGTCTCAGTTCTTGCAGAGGCTGTGCTCTCCTCGATCAAGTTGATGCCTTGCTGGTCTGAGCTTTGGGGTACCATACTTCAATACTTGTTCTTACTTGAACCACAGTTCATACTTTCTCCTTGGTTTCTTGAAAGCCCAGTGGTACAATCCTGAACTCCGAAGGTTTGAAGCTTCACATGTGGATGGTGTAGAGGTCGGAATGTTCAGTCGCCGCAACCCCTTTGTAGCCCCTTTTCCGGTTACCATATAATCTCAATGAACCTCAGCACCCCATTCTAGTCACTCAGGCCTCTATGCCTTCTAGACTAGAGTTACTAGCGCCCAAATCCTGGGCCCTGGGCCTGACCTACTCAGAGCCATTCGATCGGCTGCAAGCAAGTCCATGAGAGATTCGAAAGCAGCCGAATGAAAGTATAGTGGCGTTTAGAAGAAGAACCGTGCAATGAACTACATGATTAGTCTTTGGTGCATATGATACAAATGCATACATATACATATATACATATATATATATATATATACACGTGTATACATATATACACATACATATATCTTGATCTTGATAATATGTATATTCTGATACATACACAGGGATAGTTGAGCCTCCAATTGCCCCTGGGTTGTCGGACTCGAAGCTCTGAACCCTGAGCTCCGCGGTCTGCTCTCCATCCCCGGGTGAGGGTCTACAGGGCTTATAGAGGTCACAGGGCTTACAGGGATTATGGGGTTATAGGGGTTACAGAGGTTGCTCTTAAGGGGTTTGGGGTTTAGGGTAAGAGGTTTGGGAGAATGCAAATCAACAATCCAGAAGCTCGATCATCGTTTGAGTTAAGCTGCAGAGCCTAAAGTCTACATCCTAAATTTCTAGGCGTGTGGAAGAATTCCGTTTTTGCGTTGTGATCTACTGGCAGACTGAGCCGTCGATCGGCCGTAGCTTGCGACTTCTGGTTATTTCAATGGTTTACTTTGCCTTCGGGTTTGGGTTGGGAGGTACTCCTAAAGCTCACAAGCTTTTCTCCTAGTGTGAGGGCCTCTGACGCATAAACCCCTTAAACCTACTCCAAAACCAAGCCCAAACTAGCAAAAGGAACCAGAGGATTTGCCTGCATTGTTGCTTAGGGCCTCCTTGCAGTTTTTTTCGCATATACCTTGGACTATATTCCGAACCCCCCAATCCCTAAACCCTAAACCGCTCCGAACCCTGTTTTCTTACCATTTGGGCCACTATATCACCGTTTCTCCGCGCAGGAGATGTCTCGGGAGATGTGGAGTTCTTCCGGCGATTGGGTGAGGAGAGCCGGCCGCCAGATTATCGTAGATCGTAGTATATTCAACATGATTATGGTGTATGAGATTATATTATAGTATATATATAGTAGTATAATTAGTATAATTATCAGAGTATATTGTTGTGTATTAGAGTAAGGGAGTGGGTGCAGGGCTGTTTTGCTGCTGGGTGAGCTCGGAGGTTTCCAAGCTGTCGTGTCTTGTGGAGCTTTGGTTGCGAGGCCGGTACGAAATGGTTCGGGGGACATGCTGCACATGCAGGAGCCTTAATAATTACCTACACTATTTTGGGGGCTCCTGATTAACAGTATAGTCTAATGGACCCCAAATCCATATTGTAATTGTTAAGGCCCCTATATTACACATGCTAGTTGTCGTCGCCCTCATGTCAGCAAGGTTTCAAAAAGGACAAATCGATACAGTTCGCGCTGGAAATTAACAGCTGCTAATGCCATTGCAGCCTATTGCAGTGCAGGACCTTTGCCGCCGTCAACAGCAGACCCAATCACTTAGAAACCCTGAACCCCAAACTCCCTCGAGTCTTGTTTTCCGCGTTCCCCTACCCGAGCCCCCCTGCCTACTTCCTGGGCAACCAGGATGATGAAGACGACAAGGACAAAAAGCCGCTGGGATTGACAGGAGCATTTGTGGCCTTCGGTTTGAACCCAACCCGTCCTAACACTCAGCCCGGCACCGTCATAAACGCTGCAGTTTGATTTCCTGCTTTGCTGGGAGTGTGACAACTGTGACAACGGGGTGGGTTGTGCTTGGCTTTCGGAGTGCAAGGCTCAAAATTTAGATTAGGCTGGCTGCGAAGTTGAGGGGAGGCCTTTCGAAGGCGTCAGAGGGTCGAAACAGGAAGCCTCCCTGATTTTTTCAGCGTTTAGCGCGCACGCAGAGGTCTGCATGCTTGATCACCAGAAGTGAGTCTCGAATAGACCCACCCCACGACCCCCTAAACCCTCAACCCTAAACTTGACCCTAAACGGTAATGTAGGAACCTGATTAGGAAACCGTGGCTCTAAGGCCTATAACCCCAAAGGATTAGGATTCGTATAAGGAACCCCAACAAAGGCCCAAGGTTTCTTATTCAGGCTCCTACATGATTATAGTACCCTTATTCTAGATTTCGTATAGTAACCCTTATACCCCTTTAAAAGAACCCTAATAAAGGCCCAAGGTTCCTACATTAACCCGAAGCTTGAAAGCAGATTATTCTAAACCCTAAACCCCTGAACCCCTAAACCCTAAACCTCTGAACCTGAAAACCCTAAACTCTAAACCCTAAACCCTGTTACTTCCCCAGAGAGCCGTGGACCGAGAATTCCGCAAGCAGCCAAGGAAGAAGGACGAGGGGCCGAAGGCGCCAAGATTCCTCAACCCTTTCAGGGTTGAGGATTTGGGGTTTAGGGTTTAGGATTTGAGGTTTAGGATTTGGGATTTAGGGTTTAGGGTTCAGTATTTGGGGTTTAGGGCTTCAGGATTTGAGGTTTTGGTTTCATGCAGAGGCCGTAATAAGCTAAAGAGGGCTTGTACGGTATAGTATAAGGACTTAGGGCTCGGGGCTTCCGGGCCTTACCTGGAGTATCATGACCTGCCCCTTTTGTTGAGGGTACCTGCATGGCTAATACCCTAAGCTCTGAACTAAACGAGGGGCAGAGCATGGCCTTCTAGCTGGACCCCACCGTGCCATCCAAGACAGATCCAGGAATCCCCAAAATATGCTGTACGGCTGTACTGATAAGACAGATCCAGGCATCCGAGTCGCAGAAATACAAGCGGGCTCTCCTGAGTAGCCGAGCAGGAAGCCTTTCTCCTCTTGGAGTTTATACATAACAAGTACACAGTGCAGATACATAATGTATGTATATATATATATATATATATATGTATGTATGTATGTATGTATGTATACACAAATACATACCTATAATATTTACATATATGTATAAATGCATGCACATATACACATACGAATACTTATACATACACATGAACTCATCCTCATCATCATCATCATCATCTTCACCATCATCATCATCATCATCATCACCATCATCATCATATTCATCATCTTCATCTTCATCTTCATCATCATCATCATCACCATCATCGATCATCATCATCCTACCATCGAAGTAAACGGTTTAGCCTTGGGGCCAAGGACATCATCTTCGCCAGCTTGAAGAATAAGCAGAGCTATGCTCGCTCTGATTACTTAGGGCCATTGGTGTTTAGCGTGCAGGGCTGACAGCTCAACAGAGACTGATCATGATGACGGCCATGTGGGGGCACTGTGGCCCAAACATGATGTCGTTTTGCTGGTCCACTCCGCTGAAGTCCTCCTGTGGGCATGCAGAACACGATCAAGGGAAAGCGAAGCCAGGCTCGAATTCAAGAAGGGCCTGTGAGGTAGTGCGTCGTCGTCCACTACGGACCACACACCAATCGTCCAGGACACGGCAGCACTCGCCCACGCGAATCGTTCAGAACAAGGCACAGGCAAGGAGTACTTGTGCTTGAAGTCCTTACAGTTGCCCGAAGCCCGAAGCCGTTCATCAGTCCGACGCCCTGAAACGCAGAGGTGTCTCGGCATGTGCGGTCGGGGTCACGATGCAACCGTGTTGGAATTGAGATGCCGAATGTACGTCCATATCCTTCTCAGTCTGTTTCAAACCTTCAGTTCACCCAGAGGGAACTACCTGTTTGGAGCATTGCACACGGTATACCTCGAAACGATCAACTGAGCCGGCATCGTTCATGCGCAGCTGGACCAGATTTGCCTGCGAGACTTTGGCGTTCTCTGATACGTTGTCGCAAGGATGAATTGAAGGCTGGTAGAACAGATGTCTCAAGCCCCTTGCCCAGAAAGCACACTGCATCGTAGAAGCCTGAAACAGTATCATATGATGGTCAGGCTTTTGGTGTTACGGTTAGGGTTTGGCATCGTGCTCACTTTTCGATGGCACAGGGTACAGGGTACAGTAGGAGGTCGTTGTCAACCATGCGAAGGAGGTCGCCGTCAACCATGCGAAAACCGTGTGTAAGTCCCGATGACCAGAAGAACCTTGAAGCATGCACCCAAAGCTGGTAATTTAGAAGCACTAGTGACTAGTGCCTGGAATTTTATTTAAGCATGCTTTGTGTGGTTATAGTATACTCGTAGCGTATCCCAGTACCTTCTAGCTATCTCTACATCACTGGGTACCCTAGTCCCTAAACCCTAAGCCCGATGTGCCTTAAACCGCAACTCCCGAGCCGGAAACTCTCAACCCGACGAAGGACGGTGGCTCCGTGATTGTCGTGATAGAATGGACCGACCACCAGTGGGAGGCCGCACTGTGGCTTGCTTGGTGCTGGTGTTCCTTCTCAGCCCCTGTATAGGTAATTATCATTTACGGTACCCCAAAACTGTAGTTTAGTTGCTAGGGCTTCTGCCTCTAGGCCACCCGAGTGAGGACAGAGTCTACAAGGCTTTCCACATTGTGACTGAGACCCTAAAGCCCTAAACCCTAACTAAAGCCTTAAACCCGAAGCCCTAAAGCCCTACGTCCTGAACCTAAAGCCCTAAACCTAAAACCCTAAAGCCCTAAACCTGAAACCCTAAACCCTAACTAAACCCCTGAACCCGAAGCCCTAAAGCCCTACGTCCTAAACCTAAAGCCCTAAACCCCATAAAGCCCTAAACCCCAACTAAAGCCCTAAACCCTGACTAAGGCCCTAAACCCGAAGCCCTAAAGCCCTACGTCCTAAACCTAAAGCCTTAAACCCGAAGCCCTAAAGCCCTACGTCCTGAACCTAAAGCCCAAAACCCTAACTAAAGGCCTAAACCTAAAGCCCTAAACCCTAACTAAATCCCTAAACCCTAACTAAAGCCCTAAACCCGAAGCCCTAAAGCCCTACGTCCTGAACCTAAAGCCTTAAACCCAAACTAAAGGCCTAAACCTAAAGCCCTAAAGCCCTAAACCCTAACTAGAGCCCTAAACCCTACCTAAAGCCCTAAACCCGAAGCCCTAAAGCCCTACGGCCTAAACCTAAAGCCCTAAACCCTAACGAAAGTCCTAAACCTAAAGCCCTAAACCCTAACTAAAGCCCTAAACCCTAAACCTAAAGCCCTAAACCCTAACGAAAGTCCTAAACCTAAAGCCCGAAACCCTAACTAAAGCCCTAAACCCTAACTAAAGCCCTAAACCCAAACTAAAGCCCGAATCCCTAACTAAAGCCCGAAACCTTAACTAAAGCCCTAAACCCTAACTAAAGCCCGAAACCCTAACTAAAGCCCTAAACCCTAAACCTAAAGCCCTAAACCCTAACGAAAGTCCTAAACCTAAAGCCCGAAACCCTAACTAAAGCCCTAAACCCTAACTAAAGCCCTAAACCCAAACTAAAGCCCGAATCCCTAACTAAAGCCCGAAACCCTAACTAAAGCGCTAAACCCTAAACCTAAAGCCCTAAACCCTAACGAAAGTCCTAAACCTAAAGCCCGAAACCCTAACTAAAGCCCTAAACCCTAACTAAAGCCCTAAACCCAAACTAAAGCCCGAATCCCTAACTAAAGCCCGAAACCCTAACTAAAGCCCTAAACCCTAACCAAAGCCCTAAACCCTAACTAAAGCCCTAAACCCTAAACCTAAAGCCCTAAACCCTAACGAAAGTCCTAAACCTAAAGCCCGAAACCCTAACTAAAGCCCTAAACCCTAACTAAAGCCCGAAACCCAAACTAAAGCCCGAAACCCTAACTAAAGCCCTAAACCCTAACTAAAGCCCGAAACCCTAACTAAAGCCCTAAACCCTAAACCTAAAGCCCTAAACCCTAACGAAAGTCCTAAACCTAAAGCCCGAAACCCTAACTAAAGCCCTAAACCCTAACTAAAGCCCGAAACCCTAGACTAAAATCTCAAAAGAGCTAAGCGGCAGTGAGGACTTCGTAAAGCAGGCGAAGAAGGATGGTGTGAAGGAGGCGCCCGGGCTTAGGGTTCCTTTAAGGGTCCCTTTAAGTGGATCTATAGGGATTCTATCAGGGTATAGAGTTTGCAGGGTTTAGGGTCTACTTGGAGGTTCATGGGTAGTTACAAGAAGAGTTATAAGTCCCCTGAGATGGGTTATAATTACAGTTACCCTATACTTATAACCCCGCCTTAGAACCACCCATGGACCTGAAAGTAGGGTCGGCAAAAAAGACAAGAACTCGGAAACTGACGGTTTAGGCGTTTAGGGTTCAGGGGTTAGAGCGACAAGCCATGGTTTCGAACTGCTGACAGCAAACTCATAGCAACCTCTTACACAAAGCCAGCCTAAGCCATAATCCATAGTCCAAAGCCAGCCTAAGCCATAATCCATAGTCCATAAACCCCGTGAGTCAGCAAATGCATGCCTTCTTTCCAATCATGGTGTTGCATAGATGCCGAACCAGACGCCGTGCTGCAAATCTCACTGCGCCAGACCGACTTCCCGCGCCTGCGCAAAGAGATCCCCTGCCACCATGCCCCCATCAAAGAGGCGGCTGTCAGGGTTCATTTTGTTCAGAGTTTGGGTGTTTGGTTCAATGTTGTTGGTTGCTAAGGGTTGAGGGTTCAGGGGTGAAACGGCTGAGTTAATCTGGCATATGGAAATCTATTTTAGTAAGGATGCTGACTCTACGCCCTAGAGCGTGCATGGTTTGGTGGGTGAAGTATGGCGATGGCTCGACTCCAAGGGTAAAAGGAGGGACCCTTAATAAGGACCCTAGGTATATACCCTTAATATAGCTGTTATATACCCATTATACAGCCCATTATAGGGTAGGGGTCCCCATTAAGGGTCCCTCCTTTTCCCCTTTGATAGACTGGTTCTTTAGAGTTTCTTGCAGGGCTACGGTAGGAGCTTCTATGACATTCAGAGGACTTGGCTGTCGTGAACAGCCAGTACAGTCGAAGCCCAAAAGTTGGAAACCCCATAGCCTCAATCCTGAAGAGTAATGTATGGGGAATTCCAGTTTCCTTGGCCTTAATCCGGTTTCCAACTTTATGGGGTTTACTGTAGTCTATACCGGGGGGCCAAAGATCTGACGTGGAGCAATGGTGGCCTGAGCTTCACCTACAATGGCGCCATAATCAGAAACGGAGCAATCATTCGGCGTAACTACGCTTGTAGCTGCTAGTAGATACTTGCAGCTTATCCCTAAAGCTTGAACCCCAAGCCTTAGTCCCTCAACGTTAAGCCCTACTCACGTAAGCCCGAAGCCCTCAAGCCCTCAGCCGTTCATGGTTCATAGGGTATCTTCAGAGGCCTAAACGCTTACCAACACCACGTATTTGGGCTCCTGCAAAAACTCATACTAGAAAGGAGCCCCAAGCCCTATTTTTGATTAGTTACGCCCCCATTATACTGTTGATGATATAAATCCTGCATTACCTTAAGGACCGTAACTATGGGAATTATGGTACATTCCCCATTATGGGTAATGCAGGATTTATATCATCAACAGTATGTTTGCCCAAGACTCTCTGTTTCTACCTCAGTCCCTAGAGTTACTCAGCAGGGCCGGGTTGACCGGCGGAAGTTTCGATTGAGGGTTCAGGGCATCTTATGGTTTCGGGTTTAGGATATTGTGAAGTTTCGGGTTTAGAATATGTTGTGGTTTAGGGTTTAGGATAATTTATGGTTTCGGGTTTAGGATGTTTTATGGTTTCGGGTTTAGGACATTTCATGGTCTCGGGTTTTAGATGTTTTATGCTTCAGCGTTTAGGATGTTTTATGGTCTCGGGTTTAGGACATTTTATGGTCTCGGGTTTTAGATGTTTTTGCTTTTAATGGTTTCGGGTTTAGGATGTTTGACGGTTTCGGGTTTCGGATGTGGGATGGTTTCGGGTTTAGGCCATTTATGGTTTCGGGTTTAAGATGTGTTATGGTTTCGGGTGTGTAGGATGTTTTATGGCGTCGGGTTTAGGAGATGTTGGTGGTCTCGGGTTTCAGATGTTCTATGCCTTAGGGTTTACGATGTTTGTTTTGTTTATGGCTTCGGGTTTTATGTGTTATGTTTCACGGTTCAGGATATGCTGCGGTGTTTAGGATATTGTCTGTCTGCCTTCGGGTTTAGGATATTTGTGGTTTCGGGTTTAGGGGTGGGTTTAGTAACTTGGGACAACCCTGAGCCAGAAAACCCTTTAGGGTTTATAGGGCTGAACCGAAAGCTCGATACAGTTCAAGGCACTTCCTGGGAAACCATTGGGATGTCACACCTGTGAACTTGCAACCGCACTATACTTATACCTTTATCCACTTTATACATGTATTACCACACATTGCTACATCACTATACTGCTTTCCGTAGATCATGTATGCCCTGCAAGCTGAAGAGCCGTTTAAGTCCTACTGTGGCTTCACAGCCTAAGCACAAACCATGCAAGGCCTTCAAGGCCCTCGCCTGTGCAGGTTCAGGGCTTAGGGTTTAGGGATTACGGATTAGGGTTTGGGATTTAGGGATTACGGATTAGGGTTTAGGGCTTGGGATTTAGGGATTACGGATTAGGGTTTAGGGTTTGGGGTTTAGGGATTACGGATTAGGGTTTAGGGTTTGGGGTTTAGGGATTAGGGTTTAGGGTTTGGGATTTAGGGTGTAGAGTTTAGGGTGCAGGGTTCAGGGTTTAGGGTTTAGGGCCTTGGCAAGGTCGTACCGTTCCTGTACTTGATGCACAATCTGGAGTTGATCAGGCCGGGGTACTCCGATTATTCTGGTGATGTGTGATAATAAACCCTAAACCCTAAACCCTAAACCCAATCATGATAACGAACGACTATTTGGTTCGGCCTAGGTTTCGGCAGGGCTTCTTAGAATGGCGAGTTGGGACTTCAGGGTCTACGATCCTTGGAACAGGGATCCGGTTTCCTTCGCCTCCAGACATTGTGACACATAGCATATATATATATATATATATATATATATATATTTCCGTAACTGGATACCTTATTCTGGGGTCCTCTTTCATAAGGATCCCACATATTAGGGTACTATATTACGGTCCCCTATTTTTGGAAACTCCCATATAGGGGCCTGGAAGGGATGAGAGCAAAGCTGCAGCACCCCTGTTTAAGAACCCCCCTCCCCACTCCACATGCCCTGAACTCTGCATTGCCGATCTTAAGCCGTTTACTCTCAGCAGGGAGTCTGCAGCTGTCTTCCGTCGAGGGTTTAGGGGTTTAGGGTTTAGGGTTGTTTAGGGTTTAGGGGTTTAGGGTTTATAAATTAGGGGAACAGCACCTGTGCATGGCTCTTCTGAGTGAGTGGGTTGAAAGCTCGTATACCAGAACAATCTCCAGAGTACCAACGCTACTTGAACAAAGCAGTGTCCACATACGCATCGATGTAGTTCATATTTGGCGAACCAATATGTTTCCCGGCAGTATCTCCTGAATAAAGTACAGGTCACAACTCAGAAGTGCAACTGGGAATACCAGCAGACCCCACCCCCGAACCTCAAATCCCGTCTGAGTCCCAAACATCAAGAGCCAGAACTTAGGGGTACTTTGAAATAGTTTTTAATTTTTGGTTGTTATAATCCCTAAGAAACAGCTGAAACTATAATTTTTGCTAGGGTTCTAAGTTCAGTATAGGAAAGCCAGAATGCTAGACCTCAAAGGCCTTTTCAGTCTTGAGGGCGGAGAAGGGCATGCACCCAGGGCCGAGGGCCAGAAATGCCAGGCCGCAAGCTCCGAACCATAATCTAGGATGCCAAGTAGTACCCTTATTCCCTTTTTGTAGTCCTAGGTTCCTTATGAAGTTACCCAATACCAAAAAGAGAGGCCTTTTTATTCTTAGGTTACTGGGTATCCTAGTGATGCTCCAACCCCGAGATGCCAGGGGGATGGTGCAAGCTTAAGGTTTACCTATAGTCTCCACTGTAGTTCCTTTTCGGGGTTACCTTATGGGGTCCTTAATATATAATTGGTTAAACCAAAAAAGGAACTACAATGGAGACTATAGGCAGGGTTTAGGATTGTGCTTGAAAATGTAGTCATTAGCAAGGTTATTCCCTAGTGTATGTATACAGTAACCATATACCCAAAAGACTACTTCAACAAGAAAGTCCGTTCAGCTAGGCGGATGAACACAGTAATCATATACCCCAAAAGACTACCCTAACAAGAAAGTCCGTTAAGCTAGGCGGATGATGCACACCTACACTGGTACCTTCCTGATCATGGTGTTCCTCGTCTTCGGCGTCGGCGGAGGCTACTTCTGGCAACCCGGCTGCTCTTCGAACCTGAAGCGTCGAACTTGTAGTTTACGTCTAGGGCCTGGGTTTTGGCATGCTTTGTTTTGGGCCCTCTTACCTTTAGTAGCTGCCACACAGCGCGCTGGTTGTGTAAGCCAGGCTTCTCTTCTCGATGTTGTTATCCTGAGGTCACCCTCATTCGACCAGGCCTGAGTATATTGGCTCAAGTGTTGATGCAAGCTTTCAGCCAAGGTACTGGTACACCGTGATGCGCACGAGTCAGCGAAGGTGCTCCATGATCACATTCTTCTGAAGGGGCCCCCCTCTCAAGTACGAGCAGTGTTCACTGGAGCATGCTTTGATCGGGAACCTTGTCCCGACGTCCTGTTGCTTCGTCTCGTCTCAAGCCTCGCCTTCGATGCATTCGGGTTTGGAGTTATTCCAGGGACAAGCCTCCTAAGGGTCTAAAGCCTCAGCGCTTTTTTAGAATCAATGTTGTATGAGTGGAAGGTCCGTCGGGTCATTTGGCACTCTCAAGGCTGCATTTCCAATCCGTGCTAGCCCCCAAACCAAGTAGCCCTTCAACGGCAGCTGCTTGGGTCTCGGACTTAAGGTTTACTGTTGATGGCTTTTGTGTAGGCCAACGACGGAAGGACAGAGCCACTTACAATCCCCAATCTCTATTTCAGGCTCAGTAACCTTCAACTGCAAACCCTACACCTGATGCCTTCAAGTCAGTAGTTCCAACAAGCCCTCCAGCCAAAAGCAAAAGTCTTAACACAGAACCCTCCAAGCCTACAAGCCGCAAGGCCACACCCTAAACTCTCAGAACTAATTTGTGGGGATTCAACACAACAAGCAAACAAACCCTAAACCTTGAAACCCTAAACCCTAAAGCCCTGAACCCCTAAACCTTAAAACCCTAAACCCTCAAGCCCTAAACCCCCGAATCCTAAAGCCCTAACCCCTAAAACCCTAAATCCCCAACTCGCTGGGAGGCTGAAAATGCTTGAGCCGGGCACCTTGTCGATCCTGGTTCTGGACTGCGTGGGGGCACTCAGCTGGGTTCCTGTAAAGGATTTTATTTTAAGTTACAATGTCAGGGACTCTTTGAGGGTTCCCTTAAAGGTTCTATAAGGGCTTAGGGTTTAAGAAGGGTTCCCGTAAGGGGTCTATCAGGGTTTGGGGTTTAAGTTGCCAGAGTAGGGATCTATAGTAAATAAGATGGTTTCCGCATTATGGTAACTTCAGTTAGACCTCTTAAACAAGAACCCAGTCAGCCTCTTTCGTGGTCGTTGCAGCGCTTTGGGCTTTGAGGTTTGGGGGAGCGGAGGGGTCCTCCGGCTTCTCAGTGAATATATATATAGTTATAGATACATACATATATGTTGCACACAGACACAGACAGAAAAGTATATGTGTGTAACATACAGTCAATACATATATATATATACATACGTATATTCATTTCTCTATATTTTATTTGTTTATATATTATGTGTATGCACATGAGGGGTTTTGCTTATTGGGAATCAGAGTTTAGGGTGAAGGGTTTGTAGAGTTCTACTTCGTGGGCCGGGCTTTGCGGACTCTACGAACTCTCAGAATGCTACCACAAATTGGCTACTTGCTACTTCAGCAGAGTGTGCAAGTAAACAGTATACCGGTACCATGTTGGAGAAGCCTGAGTACTAATCAGTACCATTCTTTGGCTCTCCTGAGCAGAACTATGTTACATTTTAACGTACCCCCAAAACCTCATTCAAATCATGCTACACACCGAGCCGAATGCTTTGCGATGGGTTCGGGACGGGTTGAGAATTCTAAGCATCCCATGAAAATCCTTCAGCCAAGATCCTTGCGGGTTGAGGGCTCTCAGAATGGTCCTTTTGGATTTGGGGGTTGGGGTCATATTCTCACGGTCGCAGATGTGAAACACTAGGCCGGCCAACCGGAAGGCGAGGGGGGGGGGGGGGGGGGGTTAGTGTTTAAGTATCCCGATGAGAGCGCTGAGTAACTTCAGGCGGCTGGAGGCTTGGGACCCTCATCCCCTATTCCACCTCAAGTTCGTGCCTAAACCCGAAACCTAGAGTACATACATTGAGAACTCAGCTTTGCCTCGGCCCAGGCCACTCCACAACTAGCCTCAAGGCCTTCAAGGGGTTTCACAATCAGAAATTTCGTGTAGATGCTGAGTTAATCACCAATGCAATTCATTACGGCTCCTTACCTCAATCGTACTATAATATACCCCACAACCCTTTCCAACCATATTTACGGCCCCTATATGAAGCCGGGGTGCCCAGAACAACCCAGAAGCTTCGGTTCGATGTCAATGGCTAGCAATATCCTTCCCTCAACAACTACTTGGGCTGCAGTCGCATATGGTCGCAGTCAGTTTGTGGTAGTGTCAGAAGACCAAACCTTAAACACCAGAACCCCAACTCGACCCAACAACTCATCGAGGGCCTTGTTGGCTTCACCAAGAGCGCCACGAAGATGCTGGTGGAGCATGGAGACCCAATGTTTTTTTTTGTTTTTTATTTTGTGTGTGTTAGCACAGGTTGTTCCTTGTCTTTTGGGGACCCTACCCTAAACTACCCTAAACCCTAGATTTGCGGCTGTCTCCAGTCTTTACATTAGGACTAGTCGTGAGGTCCACAAACCATGTCAGTCTTCGTAGCGAATTTCTTATGTAAGCTTCGCCAACCATGTGCCCTAACAGTATTATACTTTGGCCCTGAAGTAGCCATATAGGGACTACTTTAAGACCACAGTATATACAAATTGCATGGACCCTTACGACTAGACACCCTTCACCGATCCGTGCTCGTGAGTTTGAGCCATGACACGGATGGTCCTAACAGATTATATAGCAGACTATATGGTACCTGGTACATGCTAGTTCAGCCTTCATGAGACTTCCCTGTAGCTTCTTCACAGTGGAACGTTTGACTTAAACACCACGCACTGTAAACCCGAAACCCGACTAAACCGTAAGCCCGGCATCCTGACCGCGAGCATCTTCGAGCCGTCGCTCACCGGCTACCCTGTTAAACCACTCTGAGTGCTCGCCTTGCCAGGTGAGAAGAGAAGTATCAAGATCGGATCGCAGTAGTTATTAGCATGGCTGCAGTGCTACTGGTCATCTGGTATTGGTAGCGCACAGTCTGTCAGCTGAAGTTGCTGTTGTCCCTGAACTTGTCCCTAACGTTTCGCTTCTTTTCAGAAAGTTTTTTGCGGCTTCGAACCTGCCGGATGTCGAGTTCTGAGGTTTGAATCCACACCCCCCGACCGCTCTATAGACTCTGTACCCTCAAGCCCTCAACCCTAACACCCTCTTGTTTAGACCCTTCTGAGGCGTTGCGTCGTCACGTTCTTCTTCTGGAAGCCGTCGAGGTGCCCGCCTGCATGCCTGCCTGCCCTTAAACCCGGCCCTGCAACAGGCACCTCCCTGAACGAGGAATGTAGGGACTGAGTGCATGATTTAGACAAGTAGCTAACATACGATTTGCAAGAATCGCGAGCATGATCATAACATGTCTTAGTATGAAAACTTAATGAAGGACAACAATCGAAGTCCTAGGCCTGACAGCAATCATACAATGCCATACGAATAGTAGTATTACCAGCAATGATCCACAATCATACAATCGTGAGAGTAATACTAATCGTAATCATGGCAGTAGTAGATCCCGAAAGCCCTAGGCCCCGATTGTGAGTCCCCTTAGCTCGCAACCCTAAACCCGTGGGAGTCCTGAGTCCCGACTCCTCCCATAGCTTATTAGATGGCTAGACACACTCTCATAAGGGTTTAGGGCTTTAGGGGTTTAGGGTTTAGGGTTTAGGGCTTTAGGGGTTTAGGGTTTAGGGTTTAGGGCTTTAGGGGTTTAGGGTTTAGGCCAGAAATTAGCTGCTTGAATAACTTGACAGTCTATTCCTCAGAGTTCCCAAAAATCAGGCCGCTATCTTGCCTTAGTAGTGGGCTAACGGGAAACCCCCAACTTCAAATCCCGACCATCTGGTTATCTTTCGTCGGTTGAAGATCATGGTGTCAGAATCAAAACACAGCCCCTAAAATGTGTTAGAGTTTTCTGCTTCCGGTGAAGCAGTTGAGCGGCTTAGGGGTTTAGGGCTTATAGGGTTTAGGGTTTTATAGGGTTTAGGTATATAATAAGGGTAACTAGAATGAATAACCCATATCAGGGGACTTATAACTCTACTTAATAACTACCCATGAACCTCCAAGTACCCCTAAACCCTATACCCTGACAGAATCCCTATAGACCCCTTTAAAGGGACCCTTAAAGGAACCCATGAACCTCCGAGTACCTCCACAACAACAAGCTCGGTCGTTTTCTCGAGCGGATCGGCCGGATGACTGCGCAGCTGCCCTGCATCTTTTGACCGAAAGAGATAGTTGCAAGGTGCCAGGGCCCAACCGCACGGCTTATTACATAATATACCCCAAAACCCTATACAATCTAATGATTGATTAAGGCTTATTATACAATACATCTCCAAAGCCCTCATTGTTCTAATGATTAATTAAGGCCCCTTTAGTGGTTCTTTCCACAGCTGCACGTGCGGTGCGGTGTTTGAACATCGTCCGTGCGGGGCTCCTTTGAGACTTCGGCTTGGTCCTGTTGGAGCAACACCTCCAATGAGTCGCCGTGTCATTCGGGCAGAGGGTTTAGGGCTTCGGGTTTTGGGTTTTGGCGGTTTAGGGTTTAGGGTTTTAGGGTGTAGGGGCTTTGGGTTTAGAGTTTAGGATTTAGTGTTGGGTTGAGTTTAGGGCTCTTTCCAGAGACGCAGAGGATTCACAAAACCACAACTGTCGTTGACGATTCAATGCTCATCGCGGCGCTTTATCACTATGCAGGAACCCCTTAGGCTCCGCGTATCAGGGTGGCTTGAATGACTAGGTAAGATCCCCTTTTCGTCTTATGAATGTTGTTATTATGTTTCAATCTACCCCACATCCAAATTATTAAGGCCCCCGCTGTTAGGTACATAAACCCTTTGTGCCAGAATCCCCCCAGCAGCGGTTGTTTCAATAGGAACCCTGTAAGACTGTAGCAGACAATGTAAGGGTTGAACATTGACCCAGAGCATTCCTTACAGCTCCCGGTAACGCTGAGACTTCTCGTAGATCATCCCCCAACACCCGGCTCAACTTATCAAGGCCTCCAAGAAGTGAAGTCTAAGTATGTCCTAGAGCCGCAGCCCCGAGCCTTGCACCCTCGACCAAAGCCTAACACCTCCCCTACCCTAAACACCAAACCCCCCAGCTCCCTGAACCTGATACCTGAAACCCGACTCCCTTAGCATGATAGCTGAAACCCGGCTCCCTAAACCCTAGATACCGGAAAGCCAAGATTCTGGTGCGCCTGTCCCCCAAGACTATCCCTTAGCCCGACATCCTAACCCTACACCCTAAGCCCCTAACTGAATCTTCTCTCTTTCCCTGCTTTTGCAGGCTTCCCTAGACCCTGAACCTTAAACCCTAAACCCAAAAACTTGCTTCATTCCCTTGTAGAAGTCCTCATGGGAATGTGCTATCGGCAGGTTGCAAATCCAAGGCTTCGTGCTCGCTGGGGACCCCGGATGAAACAGGTTTGGGGTTTACCCATAGGCCCCATAGTAGTTCCTTTTTGGGGTTCATATTTAGAACTCTATATGGTAATCCCCAAAAAGAACTTAGTTTGAATCTCCAGGAAGTTCAGAAACTTGACCCAGCCAACTGCCAGAAAAATCCTAAACTCTTAAAGCCCGAAGTCCTCCTAGAATCTCAAAACTCGTCATAGAGGGTCCGAGCCCCAAAGCCCGCAACACTTTACTTAGGGGTGCTTAGAAATATTTTCTTAATTTTTGGTTTTTATAATCCCTAACAGCTAAAATTATAATTTTTGCCAGGGTTCTAAGTTCAGAATAGGCAACCTTGAACCCTAACCCGCTACTACACCCACACTGAACCATAAGCTCCAAACCTTCAGTGAGTTCGAAGTTCGCGGGACGGTACCGTCAATCCCGTACCCTAAGCTCTGATCCCCTAGCCCTATATACCCTATACCTCCTATGCTATGCACTTTCTGAACTGGGAGATCGGTGTGCATCAGTCTTTACTTCGCTCGTGACACTTTAATCCGGTGGAGCCAACAGTTGCGTTGCATTTCTTTCAAACGTATATAGGATATAGGGCCCTTCAACTCCCAAATTCAAAGCCTCACCTCTGCTTGCCCGGGTCTTGCTCTTGTAGCGGCCCTCGCAACAGCTAACGTGACCTGCAGATCGAAAATTTCCAAGTCTTGCGAGGGGATCCCGAAAGCTTCTGCAAGGGGTCTAGATGCAGGGTACAGAGGGATGCATACTGTAGTTACAACTCTGGAAGAGAGATGCGGGTTGGGTAGGGAGATATCGTAGAGGTGCAGACCTGCTGCATCCGCAATCCAAGTTTGGCATCATCGTGTACCCGCTCCTCTTCGTGGTCATCACCTGCAGCATGATCTTCACCTATACCGTGGGGTGGGGGAGCTTGGCCAGGGTATACTTGCCTTTCTCGCCCCAAAACGTAGGGTTGCGGGTCACGTTTCAATGTTTTGGATGTAGGTTTTGATACCGAGGGGAGGTACCTTTCGCGTTGGGCGTCTCATTCCCATCATTCTTCTTCTCAGGAGCCCAACAATCTCGGGACAAATGCCCCTTCTTTCCACAGTTCTGTCAACCAGCATAAGCAGAGAGCCCTGGGCTTGGCAGTCTACAGGAGCTTCACTTGGGCACTTGGTCTTCGGGGTTTTGAACCAGGCAGCTTTCGGCAGACCCTAAACCCGAGACACATCTACGCCATATACTATATACCCTGCAAGCCCTAAGTCCAAGCCCTAAACCCTGCTTGGAGGGGCAGGGGACTTAGTAAGTAGGTTTTAAGTAGGGTTGTAATTGGGGTAACTCCAGTTAGGGTACTTACAACTCTACTTACAACTTACTTGCTAAGTCCCCTGCCCCTCCAAGTAGACCCTACCTAAGCCCCATAGATCCCTTTAAGGAACCCTATAGATCCCTTTACGGAGCCCTTTAAGAATCCTTACTAAGTCCCCTGCCTCCAGAAAGTTGGAATATGGTTTCAGGGAGGATACCCTATAATTTACCATAAAGGGTTTAGGATAATCATATTCCAACTTTCTGGCTTTTACTATAAGGATCCCTTATATAAGGACTCTTATTTGGGAATATCCCACCTACCTGCATCCTACCTTTTGAGGCCCCCGAAAGTCCTAAGGCCTAAACCTGTCCGAAGGGATCCTAGGGTCCGTGTTTATGTATTTAGTTTATGTAAAGTATAGACTTAGGCATTCCTATATGTATTTAAATTTATGTAAAGTATAGATTTAGGTACTTTAGGCCAGCGTGTAAACTACACGAGGACATGAACGTAAGACACCCACACCCATTCAGTAGCCTTTTCGAACCCTGATAGCGCCCTTTTCGAGCCCTAACGACAGCCTTAAAAGTAACCCCTTTTCCCGACTGCCAGAGTCGCCGACAGGAGTTCGGATGTTCGTGTGTGTGTGTGTGTTTGCTTGTTATATAGGGGCCTTCCATGGCGTGGGGTGGTAGAGTTAAAAGACAGAGCCACCACAATCAGGCTCCAACGGCCAATCGCCAGATGACGATGCACTCGAAATTACACTGTCGCAAGATACTTCCGCTTTGCGCCACTCTACGGCAAACCCGAAACCCTAAGCCCGAAATCCTAAACCTAAACCCGAAATCCTAAACCCGAAGCCCTAAACCGGAAATCCAAATCCCTAAACCCACGACCCTAACTAGTGGGCCCGAGGGAGTGCACTTGGTGCAGCGCTCCACCCGATGAGGAGGCGAAGACCGAAGCAGAGGCCTTGGGGTAACAAAGGGGCCTTAATCTAGGACCCAGAGTAGGCCCTTATTCCCTTTTTTGAGGCTTAGGTTCCCTTATAAACCCCTTTAAACCAAAAAGGGCACCCTTTTTATTCCTAGGTTACTCTTAGGTTTAGTAATAGTTACTATAAGGGTACTATAATATAGGTTTCGGGTCCTTATAAAGGGAGTTCCTTTCAAAGGTGTCTTATAAAGGGTCCATAAGGGTTACTACAAGGGCTACTATAAGGGTACTATAATATAGGTTTCGGCTCCTTATAAAGGGCTCTATAAGGATTACTATCAGGGGTATGATGGGGGGTTTAGTATGGGGGCCTTAATAGTTACCTATACTATTGTGGGGGTTCCTGAAATACCTGTTCTACTTAGTAAGGCCTCTAGATTAGTTGCCTGACCCGTTGAGGGTTTAGGCTACAACGTGCTTCAGAGAATCGGAGGATTCAGAATTTGTTGCAAGTGGCCAACCAGAGCCTGCTTACCTTATCCCCATCTGCGATCTGCATGGTGCACAAGTACACTTAAAAGTACTATATACGAACCTCTCAAGGAACACTTTTCATGCCAAAGTTGATACTATAAAGCTGCATGGACCCTTACCTGCGGTTACCCTCTGTCTCATCCGAGCTGAGCCGCGACCAGGACCCCTCAAAGGTCAGCTTGCCGTGGCTCAGACGGGCTTACAGATACAGGGCTCATGCCGGAGGCCTCCAGCTGAATCCCTAAACTAAACTCATGAACTCGACACAGCCTCAGATCCCGAGATCCGAAGCCTCAGGGACCCAAAAAGCACATAAGCATAAGCATTTTATAGGGATATCCCTACCTTATTGGTCTTCATCATAAGGTGGTTTATATGGGATATCCCTATCCCAATTTTTGCTTATGTGCTTTTTTGGGGCCCTAAAGCCTCAGATCCCGAAATCCGAAGCCTCAGATCCCGACGGCCGAAGCCTCAGATGCTGGAGGTCGATAACACCCCGAAGAGCATGGCGACGGATACCACCGCAGGGGTCACTTTGATGCATTGCCGAGCTTTGTTTAGGGTTCATGGCTTTAAAGGGGCTCAAGTGTGGTAGTATCATGACAAATGCACATACGAAAAAATTAAAAGCACATGGAACCTCGGGGCAAAAATCAGCGTAATCTTGACATTTTGTGCTTTGGGATGAAGAATGCCGAGCCCAGGTAGCAAGTAGTTTTGAGTTTCAAGAGTCAGGCATTCATTTTTGGGGTTTTGGGGCTCAGGGCCTGCTGCTCAGCAGTTTGAAGGTCGGCGGCTCGCGACCTGTTGGGGTTTAGGGTTTAGGGTAAAGGTGTCGGGTTTAGGGTTTAGGGTTTAGGGTTTAGGGTGAGTCAGGTTCTTTTTTGCTGTCATTTGATGTTCTGGGTTTGTGACAAGGCTTTCGTGCCGGGGGCTGACAACACCGAGCCATTTGTGCACAACTGTTTAGCTCAGGAAGATGACGATGAGGATGCAAAGAATCAGAAGCACACTGTCATGGTCTTCAATGAGGACGTAGGCGCCAATGGGTTTGCGGCTGCGGGGGTCTTCAAGGAGGCTTCAATGCCACAGGCTCGGCAGAGAGGGGATCGGGTGGCCAAGGCCAGCGACGGAGGTATCGGAGGAAATACCTTCTAATCCGTTCCTACCTTCAGCATTGTCATCAGCCGGGCCGGCCCCCAAATCGCCATGCAAGCAAGTGTCGGTGAGTCGGAGGCCCCCACTCGTCACCGGAACGTTTCTGCGAGCCATGTGTTTTCGTTGTCTCTACCTATAGTCTCCGTTGTAGCTGCTTTTTGGGGTTACCTTATAGGATCCTTGATATATAATTGGTAACCTGAAAAAAGGAACTACAATGGAGACTATAGGTAGGGGTCTACAGAGCCTTCTGCATCTCCTCTTCAGGGTGTGGGGTTTCGGCATTACAGTTTCAATGTTCTGGGACTTGGGGTGTAGGGTCTCGGGAATGTTTGGAGCTTACCTACAGTCTCCATTGTAGTTCCTTTTGTTGGTCTAACCAATTATATATTAAGGATCCTAAAAGGTAACCCCAAAAAGGAACTACAATGGAGACTATAGGTAGTTAGTCTAAAGTGCATAAACCGTCGCGGTAAGCGTTTTCCCCATTGCATGCCGAGCCTTCGCTGCAGAACAGTGGATCGACCCTGCGGCCAACGAGATCAAGGCTTGGTGGTTCGGGCACCACCAGAGCTTGGGATGTAATATGGGGGGCCTCAATATTAAGTACCAATACTAGCTATTTTGGGGGGGGATTCCTGGTCATATTTACAGTGTAATGGGCCCCAAACCCTGCTCTAAAGGCCCCTAAAAACGAGGGTTTGATGGTCAAGTACGGAGTTCCAATGACTTCAGGATCTCTTAGGGGTACTTCGAAATATATTTTTAGTTTTTGTTATTATAATCCAGCTAAAATAGTTTTTGTTTTTTCCTGCTAGGGTTCTAGGTTCAGTATACTGTAGATCTCTTGCATGGTTTAACACTCCTGAGTCATAAACCGCAACCTAAACTCCACCGACTTTGCTGTCCCCCGAAAATCAATATACGGTGGATAATCAGCGATGGCTCCTCGTCATCATGTGCTGATCACAAGGGGGTGCACCTGAGTTTATGGTCCAAGTGTGATCCTGAACCCCCAGCTCCAGTACTCACAACAACAATAAACATGGCATGAATAAAGATGGCAAGCAACAACAGCAATAATGACCACAAGAAGACGGATAATACCAAAACAAATACGAAAGAAATTACTGATACCACTAGGAATACGAATACCAGTATATACTAGAATTATAACTATTATACGACTACTACAGAAACTCGTTCTACTATCAGCTCCGAGACGAACCATACTCCCACTCATAATGGTAAGAATAAGCCCAGCTAGACTGATCATAAGATAAGGGGGTTTAGATGGGGCAACCCTATCCTAATTTTTGCTTATGTGCTTTTTTGGGGCCCTACCAACCGGACTCGAACTTGCAGGTTTTGAGGCATGAAGGATTTAGGGTTTAGGGTTTCATTAGGGTTTAGGGTTTGGGGCTTAGGGTTTAGGATAGGGTGTAGGGTTAGTGTTTTTCTTAAAGCTCGGGGTGAAGGGCTGACGTTCTTCGGGGTTTCATGGTATGCTCTCTCAAACCTTTTTCGACGCGAGCGCGAGGAGCGCTATAAAGTCTGCCCACACCCCGGTTCCAAAAGCGGGAGATGGCAGGTGACGTTGGAGCCTCCTATTCCAAGCTGGATTCCCGTGGCGCCCTCAGCTTGATGGCCTGTGTGCGGAATCAGAGAAGATATAGCTGCGCATGTATGTTTACATACACATTCGTGCACAGAGTCATAGATACACCCCGTGTGTGTGTGCATAGTTTGTCACCTATCTCTATACGCATGCATGTGTAAGTGCACCTATATCTATATCTATATCTAAATCTGTATCTATATCTTTAATTATCTATTTTATATGTGTAGAGAGAGATGTTTATGTTCATTCGGCAAGCTTTGGTAGTTGGTAGGACGTTTGCATATATGGTGTACAAAAATACGCAGACAGTCTTTCTCCTCTGTCTCGACCTTATGTGATCTCTAGCGAAGCCGGAAGACATGGAGTGGGTGGGGACGTTTAGGTCAGATGCCATGGTTTTGGAACTGAAGACCCGAAAGCCCAAAGGAAGGGCCTAACCTGGAGCCTCGAAAGGCCTAACCCCTCAGCCCTAAACTAAACTGAGACACTCTCTACAGCAACCCTTAAGCCCTAAACCCCCAAACCCTAAGACATAAACCATAAATCCTAAACCCCCAAACCCTGAGACCTAAGCCTACATTCAGTTCTCAGCCCACGAGCTGGGCTCCGGGCCTCCAGGGTCAGTGCAAGACTCCCAAAGTTGTTGGCTCCGTTTAGGGGTTTACTTAGGGATACTTAGAAATAATTTTTAATTATGGGTTACTATAATCCCTAAGAAACAGCTAAGTTTTTTTTTGCTAGGGTTCTAAGTTCAGTATAGTTTAGGGTTTAGGGCACAAGCTCTCAATTCCTACACTCCAAGCTCCAACTTAGAGGCAGCTACACGTAGTAGCTGAGAAGGACGTGGTAGCTGAGTAGGTCACCTTTAGCCTTTCGGGGTTGATATATCACTACAATACTTGAAGACGGTTCACCCTAAGTTACATGTGTGAAGATGGAACCCGATTGCTGAGACTTCTCCCTGGACCAGACATCCTCCGCCTCCCTCCAATTCCCTTCGTTGTAGGGTCTTTATCGGTATGCTGAACCAAGGGTGTTGTAGAGCTTCATCATTACCGAACATGTGGGATTGTCTGGTGTTTGTGCTTTGGGTTTCGTGTTGTTGGGGGTGTCGGGTTTAGGCGGTTGGGGGTTTTTAAGTCTTGGAGCGACGGGTCTTGCAAGAGAGCAAGGCGGCTGACTCCCAACCTCTGCAGGACTCCCGAACTGCACCCTTCGCCCTGCGCCTTGACATAGCGATAGGTAGTATTGGTATTAGTATTGGTATACGTATTAGTATTAGTATTGGTATTAGTATTGGTATTATTGCTATTAGTTTTGATATTAATGAAATGTTAATCTGTACTACAATCCCATTGTGTTCCTACATGACAGGTAAGCTGCTCTGTTTTCTATACCCCCCATCGCCCTACACTACTTATCTAAGCCGTGCTGTTACATCCTCTTCCCCAAAGCCAAAAAGGGTATGCTTATATAGGTTCTGGAATCAAGTGAAAGGCCCGCTTGACACCCTGTACCCTGTAGTATAGAGGCCTGAGTAATGAGAGTTGGTTTTCAGGGTATCTTATACTGGAACTATGTAAGGATGATAAGAGAATACGACAACTTTTTGTTCAGACCGCGATTGTTTTCCCGGCGACCGTTCCACCAGCGTGCTCCATGACCTGCTATCTCGTCTGAAACCTTGCTGACTGCTGACCGTACATCCTAACTGCGAGCCCCTAGACACACGACATGCGCAGAAGGCTCAGAAGGTGTGCTGCATATTGTGCCGTGGCTCTCTGCATATCCAGGTGGCTGGCGAGATAACGACTGGCCACGTCCGTCGCAGCCTTACAATCCTTAGGGGTACTTAGAAACAATTTTTAATGTTTGGTTATTATAATCCCTCAGAAACCGCTAAAATTTGATTTGTTGCTAGGGTTCTAAGTTCAGTATACAATCCCGGAATTCCGAAACCCCTGTGATCTAATTCCAACACCCTTCAGCCTTGAGGTCGTGCTGCTGCAACTCCTGCTCCTCATACTCCTCCCACTACTACGACGACTGCTACTACAGTACTAGTCGTCCTAGTAGTAGTAGTAGAAGTAGTACTACTACTACTACTACTACTACTACTACTACTACTACTACTACTACTTCTACTACTACTACTACTACTACTACTTCTACTACTACTACTACTACTACTACTACTACTACTACTACTACTACTACTACTGTTACCACTACCACCGCCGCGACCACACCCGCCCCCGAGGATCGTGCATCCCGGTCCTGCAACCCAATGGCTCCGCCATCAGCTTCAAGCCGGGGAGCTTGGAGTAGTCTGAAACAACTGGGGTCCCTTTTTGGCGGGGATTCGTATGGGAGTTGCCGAAAATAGGGGGCCCCAGAATATAGTCCCCTAAATCGAAGGAGTCTTATTATATGGACCCAAAAATTAACGTACTCCTTAATTTCGGAAACTCGCGTATAATGACAATCTTACTTGGCAGGGTCTACATGGGGCAACTTCGTTTTGCCATGCTGATAGGTCTTGATGCGCATCCTGAACCTCTACAGTGTATCCTCGTACACTGTGAATCTTAGACCTCTACAACTTTAAACCCTAATGTGCGTTGACGAGGGTTTTGCTCAAAGGCGTCAGGGTGAGGAGGGTGTAGGGTTTAGGGCCTGCTTAGGGTGGCGAAGTGTTTTCGTCGAGTGAAACGGGCGGCAATGGCAACAGGTAGAGACCAGTCCTCACTGCTATCGGAGGGCAGAATTCGAATGCACACTGCAGAAATCTGTAGGAATTAGTGGTGAACACACTACCAATTCTGATAGTCATCGCGTACTGCTGCTACACTGCACCTTTAGCCTTGGACGAGGCTCGAATGCGAATCCCCATTTATATCTCAACACTTTCCACCCACAGAACGGGCATGTGGGGATCATGTTCTAGGCCCTCATAGGTTCCTGGTTGAGGGGCCACACACTTTCGCGTGTAGCAGCAATGCTGACGACATCTGGAGTTTCAGAACTTACACGACCTGTATCTAGAACCCTTCATAGTTCAACGGATCCTTAGTCTAAAGGTGCCGAGAGTACTCCCTGATCCTTCTACCGCAGTGCTCCACGCTGTGGTTTGGTATACGGTCCATGTCCTTGGGCACGAGTCACTCCTGTGTCTGCTGTTCTGGTCGCGATCGTTCGCCCTGAATTGAAACCCAAGCCCGAACTTGAGCCCCCAAGCTGCTGAATCCCACACGCCGAACTCGAAATCAGAACCTTATGCAGAGCCTTCTTGGAGCCTTATGGCCTCATTCACACAGCCTTATCGATAATTGGGCGATGAGCAGCCATGATCAAGCCCATGCACAAAGACACTTGGTAGCGGAGCCTGAGGCTGTGAGACTATCTGCTTGTTTGGGAACCTCTTGACTTCACCAGGAAACACACCAAGACAATACTCCTTATTTTGTTTTGCTGAGGGCACGGGTTTAGTCAGGTTCAGGGACATTCAAGGTTTGGAACCCTAAACCTGCAGAACTTCAGCTGGGTTTGCAATGCGACCCAGGACGGAGGATCAGGCACAAGTCTGTGCACAGGGTTCTTCCCTGCAAGCGGTTTAGGGTTTAGGGCATATTGTTTAAGGTGTAGAGGTGAATGTGGGCTTAAACATGATTTGATGTGGGTTGGAGGGTTGGAGGGTGTCGTATGCTGCAATCGTAGGTACTGGCTCGAGGCTCTCTCTCGTGGGCTTGGGAGTTTGGGGTTTCAGGGCGTCAGAGGCTAGGGTACAGGAGTTTAGAGTAGAGCATGGTAAAGGGTTTGGAGTCAAGGATACAGTTTCGTGTCTTACGGTGTCGTGTCTCGTTTTGACTTGCCGTTGTTGGGGGGGTTGCAAGGGTTGTTTGAGATGGGAGACCCTGCCGCTGCCATTGACGTGTCTGTTGGTTGTCTTCAAATTGAACAGCACCTATAGTCTCCATTGTAGTTTCTTTTTTTGGTTTAACCAGTTAGATATTAAGGATCCTATAAGGTAACCCCAAAAAGGAACTACAATGGAGTAGACTATAGGCACATTTAGGAGTCGGAATTAGTAATTAGGGCGGTGCATATCCCCTCCTAGGGCCTGCCCACCGCGTAGGGCAGCGAGCACTCTGCCAGGAGCAGGTAAAGGTCAAGGAGACGGTGAACAAGCAGCAGCTTGAGCAGGCGGCTTTGGAAGGTTCAGCGTTTCAAGTAGGACGAATTGCGAAGATTCCCCCGATAGCCAAAAGCCTGGCCAAACCTAGGACCCTTGCGTTCCTCACCCTGAAATCCCAATTTAAACTTGTTTTGGGCGTGGGATTTAGGGTCCCATTGCGGTTTACAGACAAGGGGTTCCCAGGTAGACGGGTCCTGAAAACATTGCACAGTGCGTTTCAGCCGGCGCCTTACAGGGGCGCTCAGCTTTAGGTGGAGTAGAACCAACTTCAGCCTCAGCTGCTCACGAAGGATCAGGGCTGCTGTACCTATACCTGAGGTGCCGCGATGCTCCCTCCTCTTTGCTTCAAATTACTTTCTCCTTAGGAATTGAGCTGATTCAGACTATGCCATAAGCACAATACTGATGGTATGACGTATATATTCAGAGTGTAAAAGCTTTGCTTTTAGGTTGGGTCCGAGGGGCTTCGTCTTAAAACATTGAGTTTCCAGGGTCACGAGTCGCGGGAGTGTCCTTGATCTTCAGTTCCGGTTGAAGACAGGTTACAAGCAACAGCGACAACGATGACGGTACACCGCGAAGCATCAGCAACATTGCCGGCGAGAATTGGTTTGGTGAGGATCAGGGATAGAATTTCGACGCGAACATGACGATGACCTTGCTCATGACACGACCGAAGATGACGGCAGTGTGAGAGTTTGGATCATGTTCGTACATGTTGTAGGAGTGGCGAGATGAGGAGCTTGTCATGACGATGGCGATGACTGTAACGGTGGTTTGGTTCTGAGACAAGCAATATTGGCAATATTGAGATCTGTGTTGGCCTCGAAAGTTGAATCGTCGCCCTAAACCCTAAACCCTAAACCCTGGTTATTTCTTTACTTTGGCTCGTTGGGACCCGAACCGCAGGAAGCTCTAAAGCTGGAGAAGGAGCTGGAAGCGGAACTGGTGCGTCTCTCAGGCTTCCTTAAAGCTTCTGTACGGATTTCGTAAGGTTTTAATACGTTTTGTTGGCTAAATAGTTTTTGGGTTTCGTAGCAGGCTTTGTGCAGCAGTCCTCTTTTGACATAGACAGGTTTTTTTAGCAGATGAAGCAAAGTTCTCTTAACAGAGTTGTACGAGGGTTCTTTCAGGGGGTGAGACGTGCTGCACGGTATAAGGGCTCCATACTAGTTCTAATGACCAGTAGTCAGTAGTCAGTAGTCCAGACCTCTGATTAGTAACCCCTTTTTCCCGAATTGCCTAAACGGAAGATTTGTTAGACACTGGTCGGCAGTACGACTTCTGTCAGGGGGGCGGTGAATTCAGCATGTGGAAAGAAGAGGTTGGCTTTTGCGTTGAAGTGATCAAAGTTCCAGTTCAGGAATCGAACAGCCTGGTCAACCGAAGAGCCAATACTCCCAAACTCTACAGCACTAAACCCTCTACCCTGAACCTCCAAACCGGTTTTGGTTGAAGATCTGAGTAGATTATAAATCAGGGCTGGCTCTTTTGTAAGGTGCATACTACATCTATTGTTATCTTAATTGTTACTACTATTACCATAGTTGTTATTTGTATTCTTATTATGGTTAGTTTCGTTACTGTTATGACTCGTACTGTTGTGATTTACAGAATTATTATTATAAGTATGCTTGTTGCTGGGCTTTTGGATTTCGTTTGCTTGCGAGGCCTCCTCCCTAGGTGGAACCCTGTTGCCTTAAGCAGAAGCCAACGTACCTCCTCATTATCCGAAAGCCATTCTGAGTTTGGGCCCCAAAGCTTAAAGTCCTCAACCATCAAGGCCGAACACCCGAAACCCAAAGCCTTGTTTTAAACCCTCAGACACAAGACTCAAATCCTTAACGCTGTAGACCAGCTGCAGTGGCAAAAGGGCATGAGGGTTCAACAAAAAAGATCAGGTTCAGGACTCAGGGCCCTTCGTCCTGAGCCCATAATGATGTATTAGGGTTTAGGGTTTAGGGTTTAGGGGTCATCTCGGCCCTGGCATGGGTTGTTGCTGGTAATTCGTATCGACAAGCCGCGGACGAAGTAGCCGTGGGCAAGTCTTCCGGAGACCCAGCAAGGGGAAGTGTCGAGACTGGGTCTTGGAGGGTTGAAAGCCTGCGGCTGAATAGGACTTAGGGGTGCTATTATACAAAATACTTTTGCAGTATATTTGTTATACTACATTGTAATTATCTTCTCGTATCTTTGGCATCGGCTTAAAGTGGCTTTGGGTTTCAGGCTTCCGCTTCATGATCCTTGTCTAACGGTGCTTGGGCTGGAGTGGAGTTGATTCTGCGCTGCCGCCAAGATGTCCAAGAAGCACGAGGCCAAGCATGCCGCGAACAAGCAGAAGAAGCAGGAGGAGAAGGCGCCACGCTGCAGCCGGAAAAGCTGCAGTTTTTCTAGCTTTCCTGAAGACCTAATGCGTGTTTCATGCGGTGTTTTGGTGTTTTGTATCTTGGAGAGGACATGACATAATGCGTCGGTTGGCCATGGATTGGATAAGGAGTTCTGTTGTTGGGCGAGCAGGGCCTGGGAGCGGGAGGGCTAATATGGGGAGGGCCAAAGAAGAAATCAAGAACAAGGGCTCTTCTAGTTCGTAAGTAGTTTCTTCTCCTCAGGGTTGAGGCGTATCCAGGCCGTAGATGTCCACCCGGACCATACTTCTATGACAGATGCGGCATTCACGATGAGGGTAGCCTTCTTTGGCATATGTGTTGCAATTCTATGAAGGGGGAGTGGGCTTGATGACTGTGAGGAGCATGTCTTTGAACTAAGTGCTCGTGAGTTGCATTCGCACTGTGTCATCAGCATTTTCCAAACATTCTCGTACTGACCAAGAGGAAAGAACATTTATATGGAGAAGATCCCGAAACCCAAACGTAAAAGTAGAGATGGTAACCTTTGACTATGGTCTTAATTTGCTGTAATTCCAGAGGTTATCAATAATTCGCCTCAGGCCCTAAGATGCTGGACAAGTAAGGGACTAGGACCCAGAGTAGGCCCTTATTCCCTTTTTTGAGGCTTAGGTTCCCTTATAAACCCCTTTAAACCAAAAAGGGCACCCTTTTTATTCCTAGGTTACTCTTAGGTCTAGGGGATATACCCCCAAGCCACAAGCGCTTGAAGGACGTGGTGGAAAAGATCCCGAGACCTTGAACCCGAGCCCGAAACCAACAAACCTAAAAGGAGCTCACGGAGAAGATCCCTGAATCCTACTACACCCCAACCAGTCTGGGCGCAGCTGCCTAAAGTTCGAGCCCCAAACTCTGCCCCCAAACCCAAAACCGTGCAACCCTAAACTCGAAACTGAGCCCTAAACCCAAGCCCCTCAAAAGCCTGAAGGAACTTATGGAGAATATCAAGAAAAGGAAGGAGTCCTTTCCTCGGCAAAGCATGGGAACTCGCAGACTTCAACAGGTTCCGATGTAATATTGGGAGACGGGGGGCGAGGAATGCTTAGTAACGAGACTATCCCCTCAAGGGTTCCTTTGAGGTTCTACGACGGATCCATAAAGGTGTTCATCAGGCACTGAGATCCCATTATACGCACAAACTCACGGTCATCAAGTCTCTAGGGGAGACGAGGACAGCCAATGCTACGTGCCACTACCACGACTACCACCACCAGGACGACTACTCCTACTCCGGCTCCTGCTCCTACGCCGACTCCTATTCCTACTCCTGCTCCTAGGTCCTACTGCCATTCCCACTCCTGCTACCGGTTTGCTGTCTTCCTGTCGGATGTCGGGTGCACGAAGGGCGATAGGAGCTCTGACGCTAGCCAGGGTCTCGATAGCAGCAACAACCAGGCCAGTGAGTGCACCGAGGTCATTCGGAAGGTCCCAGGTGATCCATGTTGTGCTTGGCTTCGGGGCACCATGTAAGCATTTACATGCAGTTTGCCTGCTGCACCCAGGAACCACCAGCGGGACCTAGAGGCGGCCAAGACGCAGGCACCAGACATTGAGTGCACGGTTTTGCATGGTCCTTCCTGGAGTCCTTGTGTACGGACTGATCACGCTGTACGCGCCTAAAGATGCACCGCAATTGGTGCACATGTCCCGAACAGCCATGAACTCCGCCAGCACGGCCCAGGCCCTACATACAACCCGGTCTTGAGAAGCCTTAGTTGTCGCTCGGAGTCACGTCTGGGCTATTCAAGATGAATTTCCCGTCCTGGCCATCCCTACAGTCGTAGTGTCGTCTGTAGAAGAAGCCGGTGACAAGTAGCCTAGGAACACACGGTTCCCTGTGTGGTCTAAAGTCGGTGACCCATAGGCGACCACGCACTGATTCGCAAGATGCTTTAACCTACTGTTGCCTTAGTAGCTGAGTGGATACACTTTTTGGGATAACATTACCCACCAAAAATCTAAGAGTGTACACTTTTAGGGGCTTATGAACTCAGCAACTAAGCTGCTTAACATCTCCCTGTTCTGAGCTGTAAGAGCCTAACCCCCTGAGCTCTAAATCTAGACCCTGCCGCGCAATGCCGTTCCCATCTAAACAACAACCAAAGCACAGCACTGTACAGCTGGTTAGTACCTTTTGGCCACCATGGAGGACAGACTTACACCTGATTCAGATACGTTGGAAAGTCTGGATCGTGGAGACATTTCCCTGAGCCAAAGTCTTAGATGATAAGCTATGCAGAATCAGCATTCTCCCTATCTCTCGATGACGGCGGGGCTCCCATGCTAGCTAGTTTGATAGTTCTATTGTCGGGGCATACACCGCTATGCTATTCCACAAGGCTGATATTTCACAGAGTTTTACGTTGGATAGTCGAGCCCGAATCAATTCAACCTGGGGTTTGTATGATACAACGGTTTAAAGGCCTGGATATGTAAAACAACTACCGGACATAGTAGGCTCAACTACCTACAGTACCGAAACTAGAGTCTCAGTCAGAGTTTTCTTGTATGGTATTCTCCCAATAAAAGCCGTAGCCTTAAGTTTCTGCACGCAAACCCGCATGCGATAGCCAGAAAACGCTGCACACCGTAAACTCCTAAACCTGAAACTCTAAAAGCCTGCATCATGAGCCCCCTTTCCGACCACGGCCCACGCCAGCTGAAAACCCTCGGCAAGCAGTACTTTGCCGATGAGCAGGCACTTTAACTGGAGATCGGCTTCAGGCGGTTGAGGATTTAGGGTTGTAAGCAGGCTTCTATAGGGATGCAGAGCTTTGTTCATGGTTCACTGGGATTTTAGGGTTGGATAAGGGTTATGAGATCGCCACATGTTTTGTTCTCACACGGTCTCTTTGGTATTTGGGGTTGTGGACTTCGGGCTTTATAGGGTTCTAGGGTTTACGGGTCTAGGGTTCATGGCATTTGGGGTTATGTGATCTTGATTTGTGCGTTCAGGGTTTGGCCATTCTACGTATAATAGGGTCCAAGCGTCAGGCTTCTACACTTGGGCTTACGATTCGTACGCAAAGATGGGGTTTGGGGTTTAGGGCTTCAGGATAAGCTCCCAACTCCGCGACAGAGATTCGGGTCTACAGTCTACAGTAAACCCTATAAAGTTGGAAACCGGATTGAGGCCAAATAGTGCTGGGATTCCCGATACATTTACTCTTAAGGATTGGGGCTATTGGGTTTCCAACTTGTAGGCTTCCATTGTAGGAACACCGACCTGTATCCTGGGTGTCCGTTGTCGATTCGTAGATTCTCGAGGAAGTGGCTCACAGAAAATCTGAACGCATTCCTGTAGTTCCCTTTGTCGCTCCTGGAGTACACACATCGGATATCATAACCATGAAATGTGTGTGTGTGTTTCCCACAAAAAGAAAAGCACGGCAGACTGGAGGTCCCGTAGGTTGAACCTTGAAAAGGCTCGAACCCTGTCTTCGGACCCATGTCCGATGGAAGGAATACCTGCTGCACAGCGACAACTGGTCCTCCAACTTTGATGACCGCCTCTGGGTCAGAGACACCAAGAAGGAAGATGAGGGTTCTGCACTCAGTTACGGGTGGCTGTCGAAATCATGGTCCCCTTTTTGGGTCCCTATGATTATATACGGCACCTATAATTCAGGGTACCCAAAAATGGACCTTAATTTTGACGACTACCCAGTTCGTTAGCAGTACGAGCAGCAGCGGATGTACGTTTCGTAGTCTCATTTGGGTTCCATGATCAGCAGATGAGGACAGACCAGTGCTCCGCAATGTACTTACCAGATAACGGCCCAAAAGGTCTAGTGCCATAGAGCGAAAAGGCTTTGTGCGGTTTTCCTGATGCTGCGTGGCGCCTGTCCTGTGGCGAACTTGGTTCGTGCTCGTAGCTTATTGAAAGAAACACTGCTGCTGCTTGCTGATTGCTTACTGCTTGTGCTGCTGCCACTACTACCGCTAAACGCTCCCTGGACGGCTTGCTGGAGGACTGAAGAGTTTCATCGGCATGGCGACAATAGCTAAGTTTCGCGGGTATGACACAGATACCAAGTCGTTTGTTACGAGTATCTTGAAAATGCCATAGCCCTGAACGAAAGTCTGGCTGGTGTATCTTTCTGACTGCATGTTACTTTGGTAGCCGTGAAACCCCAAACCCTAAAGCGTTGTTAATATTCTTTAAGCTCTCCAATCTCACATTCATTACTTCGGGAAAAGGGCCATGCACGGCAAGAGTTGTTTGGCTTTTTCCCCTCCACCAACCCTAAACCTAAACCCTAAATCCTAGGCCCAAATCCTAATTTCCTAATCCTGTGCCCGAAATCCTAAACCCTATGCCCTAGGCCCTAACAGCAAGAGCCCTGATCAAGGCAAGGGCTTCTGGCTGGAGAGCAAGAACGGATCTGAGATGACGCTGGCAAAGCTCCAGTCACTGCAGCCCGGACTTTGTCCCTGAGCCCCAAACGCCTAAATGGTGAACGTCTAACTAAAGCCCAAGAAGCCCTAAACCCCTAAACCCTAAACCCTAAACCCCCAAACCCTAAACCCCTAAACCCCTAAACCCTCGCCCTCAAAAAGCAATTCAGGTTTAGCCTCGCCCTTCCTGCAGTAAGCATCCCTACACCCCGAAGACTCCTAAGCCTTGAAGTTCACAACCCTACCTGTAGTCTCCATTGTAGTTCCTTTTTCTGGTTTAACCAATTATATATCCAAAATTATATTTAGGATTTTATAAGGCAACCCCAACAAAAAGAACTACAATGGAGACTATAGGTAAACCCTAACCCTCCAAAATCCGCAGGACTCAGGCGCTGGAGTTTAGGATCCGGGTTTTCGATCTTCAGGCGTTGGAGTCTGTTTCTTTGCTTAGGTTCAAGGCTGGGGGATCTAGTCTAGGGTTTAGCCTAGTAGTAGAGTAGGTAACCTTTAGCCTTTTCGGGATCCCTATATTAGGCCCTATATAATCCCCATATAACCAAAAAGGTTAACCTTCAGTTCCCCATGATACCCGACGAGTAGGTTAGGGTTTCAAAAGCTGATTCTGGGGGTCAACTTTCAGGGGTGGAGGATGTAGGCACGGTTTTTTCTCGGGGTCCAGGGCTTTCGGGTTGATGTAGGGTGAAGGTCTTGGGGCTTTAGGGTTTAATTCGGGTTTACCTATAGTCTCCATTGTAGTTCCTTTTTTTGGTTAACCAAAATCTCTCTTATAGGACCCTAACCATAAAGCTGGTTAACCAAAGAAAGGAACTACAATGGAGACTATAGGTAGGGTTTGGTGAAGGTTTATGTGGCGCGCGCGCGGAATTATAGCCGTACCGATGCCGACGGGGACTCTGCGCCAGTCGTTATTCGAAGGGGAGAAGGAGGGACCCTTACTGGGACCCCTACCCTATAATGGCTATATAATGGTTTTATAATGGCTATATTAAGGGTATATAGCTAGGGGTCCTTATTACCCCTTTTGCCCTTGGATCGATGAGGCCACCCCAGCAGCAGAAGGACCACTTCCCGCTGAAGATCACGTGGAAGCTCTACAAACTGTCCAGCATCACAGAGGTGCCCCTAAACTTACAGTGTTGCAGGTTCTACGGTTCAGGCTTTGGGGTTTCAGGGTTTAGATTGCATGGTGTGGGCGATTTCCTAAACGCCATGCCCAAGCCAACCCTAAACCCTACACCCTAAACATCCCTAAACCGACACCCTAAACCCTAAACCAACACCCTAAAATCTACAACCTAAACCATGACCCTAGACCGTAAACCCTCCAACCAAAACCCTAAACCTTAAACCTTAAACCAAAACCCGAAATCCCATGCCCAAGTCACGACTCCGAAAAAGCCATCTCGTGGCTGCAGGATAAGGAAGGGCCGTCGGGGAGACCCTCCTGGTTTCCTGAGGCCGGGATTCGATTTCGAGGCTTTAGGGTGTCGGGGTTCATTTTTTTAGGGCGTAAGGTTTACTTGTGAGATTGCATCACCTGTCCTAAACCCCAAACTGTAAACATTCCGAACCCTAAATGCAGATTGCGACGAGTTGAAGCTTGTCGTGGGCCTTGTCCTTCATGTGCGTTCCCAGACGTAGGATTCATGTCATTTCGGCGATGGCTGCTAATCCATGCAGAGATGAAGGCTTTCTTTCAGTTTGTAGACTCATCATATCCGGTTCTGCTGCATGACTTCACGTGTAGGAACGTCGTGGTTAAGCCACAGTCGTAGCCCAATGTACTTAAACGATCATGTATGTAAATGCTTCTCCCAAAAAAGAACACGCACGCATATCTAGATGGTTGGCTAGTCTGGTAGGGTAGATAAACAAGCGAGCACGAAGCTGATCACTATTGCTCAATCGAAGGAGGGGCGTGATCAGAGCAAAACTCGGCAGGTCGAACCGAAGAAAGACGATCTTGATGAAGCTTTCCAGTATAATGTGGTCCGGATTGGCGAGTTGCTCGAAGAGCTCGGCCCTAAGGTGAGGGTTTGGGGCGAAGGGTCTACAGGGCTTGTAGCGCTTGTAGGGTTCACAGGCCTTTTTTGCGATTAGGGCTTAGGTTTACCTAAGTGACGCCAACATCCCTTACTTCAAGGACCCATGTTGTTGATTTCAGAGAAGATGTACATAAAGATGATTTCAGCCATTTTGCGTATGTGTGCATGCAGTAATTATGGCTGTATGTATCTATGAATGAATGAACGTACATACATATACATCTATGTACCTGTATGTGTCCTACATATACATACATGAATCAACAAGCACACACGCATACATATGTATGTATATATATATACATATATATATATATATATATACTCACATCTCCACCCTCCTGAAAGCCTGACGGGCAAGGTTTCTTCTACCAGAACAAGTGTTTAAGATTTCGGGCTCGCGCGGTCTGCAAGACCGCAGGCTGTCTAGGAATCTACTCTTCAGAATACAGCAAGGAACCGATAAACATACATCAATGTAGTCTTCTCGTCAAGTTTGTTGCGAAGCAAAGGGAGTGTTCTTCGGATTATCGTCTGAACTGTTTTCAAGTTCTCCCGAGCCTCCTGCCGGTTCAACTTGCATAGGCTAGCACATGGTGCGAAGGCAAGCACGGCACCGGTGTACAGATCCATATTTTTTTGCTACGCTGACCAATGCGGATGATGCAAGCATCAGAGAGCTTGGACACCTTTGATCTAGCTTGCTGAGTAAGTCTGAGTAAGTATCACTACGGAGGCTTCCTTTGCCTGGCAAAAGCAGACTTCCCCAAGCCCTAGTCTCATTATTCCCGCCCAGTTATTGCACCCTCAAGTGCTCCGTGCCGGCTCGAAGACATTATACACCCTATCAGAACCCTGACAGCGACTCTTCCCATTCTGTCTATTTTTGAAGCCCCTAAGCCCTCATAACCCCCCCCCAGCCCTTACGGAACCCTTGCAGCGACCCCTTCTGTATTCGGCCCTACAGTACAATGCCTTGCCTGTGCCGAGTTGGGGATCGCGAAAAGATCGCGAGGACCAGTGGCTGGGTGAGAGTCTAAGTTGGAAGGATAAGAACTGTAGTAGTAGTAGTAGTAGTAGTAGTAGTAGTAGTAGTAGTAGTAGTAGTAGTAGTAGTAGTAGTAGTAGGAGTAGGAGTAGGAGTAGTGGTAGTAGTGCAGCAGTAGTAGTAGTAGTAGTAGTAGTAGTAGTAGTAGTAGTAGTAGTAGTAGTAGTAGTAGTAGTAGTAGTAGTAGTAGTAGTAGTAATATTATTAGTGATAGACCAACAATGAAGAATAGTAAAACCTCTAGCATCATTAATGTGTATATATCTAGTGCTCGTGGGAACTTGTGTGAAGGGGCTTAGATTCTTGGGTCTGTGGTTGAGATTTCGTTCAGCCTTCAAGCGAACACCGTAAGCCCTCGTCTTAGCCTTAAACCCTAAACCCTTGCCCTAAACCCCAAACCTAAACCCTCGTCTTACAAGCTGCTGCGGAGGACTCAGAGAAGCTGGACAAGGAGGAAGCCTTTGCCATCAAATCGTTTCTCGAGGCAGCAACTGAAGTAGTGGACTTTGAGGTTTATATGTCTGGGATAGCTGTTGTCTCGTTCCAACAGCAAACTGCCGACGGCAGAGCCAAAACACCCTGGAGCGAGCACGCTGTAGGGTTTTGGTTTTTGGGGTCTCGGGTTTGGGTTGAGGGTGGTTGAAGTTTTGCTTTTTGGTGTTTGGGTTGTTTTTCTGGATACGCGACGCTCAACCCCTTCGAGCTCTGCAGAAGCTTAGAAACATCTTTCACTGGCAGCAGCAGGACAGCAACAGCTGCTGCTGCTGCTGCTGCAGCTGTGTCTGTGAATTTGCACATGCACCTGCATGTGTAATTATGTGTACGCACGTACATGTATTTGTATATGCGTATGTAAATGGGGCATGTGTGTGCATGCGATGTAATGTGTCGACTTCTCTCTGCATTTACATCTACGTTGCCTGCGTTGCTTTGCGATTCCTCATGTGTGTATGTCTCGGCAAGGAAGTGAGTTCGCATTCATCAAGTCTCACACCCACCAGCCGGATCAGCAAGCCAACAGAGCACCTCAAGCCCCTCATTCAACTCCGAAACCTAGCATCCCAATCCAAAGCCCCAAAAAGCCCTGCCCTGAAGCCGTATAAGGGGATGCGTCCCAAGAGCCAACTCTCAACATGGCTGCTTCGAGCCAGTAGTTTCCACTCGACGCTTTTTAAGAATTTCAGGTTTGGGATGAGTTTAGGACACAGTTTACGCATTGACATTGGTGGTGTTAACAGTCAAGAGCTGGATCTTTAGAGATCATGGCAACCCTAAACCCCTAAACCCAAAACCTCTAAACCCCTAGGCCAAAACACCCTAAAACCCTCTACCCTACACCCCCAACGCTTCGAATGTGACTCTGGCAGGGCAACATCCGAAGAGAGAAGCGCCTTCTGAAGTACAACATCATGAAGGCTTAGGGGTTTAATTAGGGGCCTCACTTACGAGAATAGGGCTCCTGAAAAGGGTTCCTTTAAGGGTTCTAGAGGGATCTATATAGGGGCCAACCTCATGAAGGCTTCGGGGTTTAGGGGTCTGAAGAATGTAGGGGCCTTAATAGTTAGAATAGGTTTCCTCATAAGGGCTATGGTAAGGATGTAGTATAGGGGCCATAATCCTTATTTATAAACGGGTTTTGGGGGTCTCCTTTCTACACTTATGGTATAATATACCCCCAAACCCTATTCTAATTATTGAGGCCCCTACATGAGGGTTTCAGGGTTCCTGTCAAGCTGAGGCTTCCTCTACGGATTCTATACGGATTCCTCTGAGTTCTATCAAGCTATGGGTTCCTCTACGCTGTCTGGGCTCCTATGAGGGTTTGAGGGTTTAGGGTTCAGGGCGCAGGGTTTAGGGGTATGGAGCTCGCGGGTTTGGGGTGTTGGATTTAAGAAGCCCCATGCCTCGGCTCAAAGGGGAAAAGGAGGGACCCCTTAGCAAGGACCCCTAGGTATATACCCTTAATATAGCTATTGTATACCCATTCTATAGCCCATTATAGGCTAGGGGTTCCCATTAAGGGTCCCTCCTTTCCCCTTTGATTGGCGGTTGCTTGGTGCGAGCTTGTGAGGGCTTGCGCTGGGTACTTCGTTTAGGGTTTAGGGTTTAGGATGTAGGGTTTAGGGTTTAGGGCCTCTGGATGCAGATCAGGACTAGGGTCGAGGTCAGGGTTTCCCCGAAGCATCCCGATATCCTAAATCGGAGCACCTAACTTGTCAAATCAGAATATACGTTTTGCAGGGTGTCATTAGAAGCTCGAATATCTAGTTTATTTGTGTATTGGATCCAACACACAAAAGTCTTAATCAATCAACGCCCTAAACCCTGACACAGGGATGCTTACGAAAACTAGCCCTATCCCCTTGCAGCCCCTACATGTTTATACGATACTGACATACTCCCAAAAGCCTGTTCAGACGATGAAGGCCCCTAGCACAGACTTCACGGTTTAGAGATCCGGCTCCTAGTCTATGAGCGCAGGTTGCGGCGCACAAAGGCAGCCTCGTGCCGCAGGAGCCGAACCGAAACCCTAAGCCCGAAACCCTAACCCCTGAGGGTGGGATTCTGTCTCGGCAGGCGGAAAAAGGCGTTAAAAAAGAAAAACACCCTAACCCCTGTAACCCTAAACCCTACAACAACCTTTTTGTGTTGCATGCTTGCTGGTTACGGGGGGATAGGATCCCTCTAGCTTGGAAGTAGGGCTGGTCTCACATGAGCCTCTTACGAAAAAACTGGTGTATACGGGTAACTGTAGGTTCCAGTATAATTCAGTTATATAAGGGTTTAGGGTTTGGGTTTGGGGTTTATGGCTTAGGGTATAGGGTTGAGCTTCCGGGTCTTCGATTGAGTGCGTCTTCGATCTCCCAAACTCTAAAACCATAAACCTGGAATCTTAAGATCCTTAAACCCAAACTGTGGGTTTGGGGCCAGTTGTGCTTCAGGTTTGAGCTTCGGCCTCAGGAATATCGTGACGCTCGAAAGACACGGCGATATGGTCAATACCCTTAGTTGGAATATACCTTAAAGCCCTACCACCATGCCTTCTCTAATTTCAACAGTTGCGGCTTAGGGTGAGGAGTTGCTCGGTATCTATAACCTGACTTAAGTTTCCAATTTCTCACAAGAATAATTATCCTGGAGTCTTCGAGCCCTAAACCCTGAGCCAGAAGACCCCTAACGCTGAATCCATAATCGCTGAAAACCCACGACCTCTAAACCCTGAGAGTCTCATGCCTAGATTCATGTGCCGTGCAGCTGCTAATCTAAAAATCTGAATGACGACTAATTACTTCTTACTTACTTACTTACTTACTTGCTTGCTTACTTACTTACTTACTTATTGCATTCCTTTTTGCTACAGCTATCGTATGTTATAGCACAGTGTAAGCCTTCACACCCTATCCCAGGTCCTATGGTCTTCACATTGCGACCCTGAAACCACCCTGAACCCTAAAGGGAATTCCAGAAAGTTGGAATATGGATGAATGGTAGGATCCCCTATAGTTTACCTTAAAGGGGTTACGATAATGATATTCCAACTTGCCGGCTTCTACTGAAAACCCCTAAAAACCCTAAACCCTAAACCCTAGAACCGTGGCAAGCAGGAGCCCTTCAGAATGTTGGGTGCTCCCAAGTCGGATACGAAGGAAGAGACCATCGAAGATCACAAGACCAGACGCTTGGTGACAGGTTTTCTTAGGCCCTAGAAATGGGAGTTCCCGAAAATTAGGGGTACCTTATTTTGGGGGGTCCTGATAATAAAGATCCTACTATTTAGGGTACTATATTAGGGCCCCCTATTTTCGGAAACTCCCAAATACTCAGAACTGTTTAGGGTACTATATTAGGGCCCCCTATTTTCGGAAACTCCCAAATACTCAGAACTGTTTAGGGTACTATATTAGGGTCCCCTGTTTTCGGAAACTCCCAAAGACTCAGAAAAGGGCTTCGCATAATAAATCCCACATGTCGAGCTTCACCATCCTGCCGAAAGCCGGCGAGATTTTTGAGGTTCTGGACATTCAGGGCTTGAGGACAAATAGGATATAGACTATACACAGGTGATTGTCCAAATGTAGATACACATATTATATATATATATATACATATACACATAAACATGTATGCATGTACTTATGTATGTATGTGTGTATGTATGTATGCATTCATGCATGTGTGTGTATAGGTACGCATGTATGTATGTATGTACATATGTAGGTATGTTTACCTGTTTGTATGTGTGTATATATATATATATATATATATATTATACAATATCGTTTTATATTCATATAGTTCCCAGCCTGTCTGCGCACCTACATACATACATACATACATACTTACTTACTTACTTACATGCGTACATACCTATACCTATGTAGTGCAGACCTCGGAATCCCTCTGCAGCCGTGCTACAAGTAACAAGGTGCCGACCCAGGACAGAGCATGTGCTTGAACTACTTGTATTTGCCCTTCTTGTGAGCCTCCGCCCCCGATCTCCAGCCCAGAATGGTGGTTCGACAGTGAAGAGGAGGCGCTCCGGACTGCTGCGAAGAGCAGGTTTAGGTGCAGCCCCAATAATAAGGAACAGAATGAAGAATGAACACCTCGAGGAGAAGGACAGTAACAATCACAATGACGTCGAAAACGAGTGATAAGCGTAAGACTATGCAGACGAAAAGCAGCAGCTCTTCAAAGCTTAAGCTTATGACTCACACGACACATGTCATATGTGCCAAACGGTGGACCGGTAGATAGAGCAGAATGAAACCGGCAGCTGTCCCGCACCTGGGCCTGAAATCCTGAACTCCTTGAATGCCCCGAAGAAGCCGAAATCCAAAGCCCTTGATCCTAAAATCCCTAAAGCGCCAAACTCGAAACCTCAAAGCCCTAAACCCCACAAACTTCACTCGGCTCTTGGCAGACGGTTCTGGGGTGAAGAATTGTGCATCGACCAGAATCTGGCACAATCGATACCCTTGAACTCGGGTTTAGGGTCTTAGGGTTGAAGGTTGAGGCAGGGGTGAGGTTTTCAAAAATTTACAGTAAATGAGTGTGTAGATCCAATATGCGGATCTGAATGATTCGCGATACCATCCCTCTGGGCTTCCTATTACTACTACTGCTACTACTACTGCTACTACTACTACTACTGCTACTACTACTACTACTACTACTACTACTACTACTACTACTACTACTTCTACTACTTCTACTACTACTGCTACTATGGTATATAGTAAAGACACCTTCCGAATCTGAATGATCAAATCGTTCTGGCTCCTGCTTGTGACGCTCACGGTCACCAGGGTTTAGCGACCGAAGTATTAGGAAGAAACGCACTTTGAACGCACTCTATTACTCGTGTAAGGGCCTTACAAAAAACGTCACGGGCTCCTACGGGGGTTAGGGTGTATGGGACCTTGGCGGGAGAGTTTGGATTTTCGAGCTTCGGATTTGTTTTTTTATACGAAACCCTGAACCTTGAAATGTAAACCCCAGACCTTAAATCCGAAACCCTAAACCCGAAGCCCCTAAACCCCAATTCCGGGCTTCGGCCATGGTTTTCAGGGTTTCAATTGTAGCAGTATGGATTCCGGTGCAAGCCTCGGGTTCCCCTAGACCCTAAACCCCTTAAGCCTAAAGCCCCCAAGGTTTTTTTTGACCCCTATAGATCCCTTTAGAGGAGCCCTCAAAGGAGCTTTTGAAAATCTCCCAAGGCCTAAAGCCCTAATGTTGGGGCATAAATAATTACCAATACTATTTTGGGGGTTCCTTCTTATACTTAATTATCGTATAACGGGCCCCAAAACCCTGTTCTATTTCTTTAAGGCCCGCATATTCAAATCCTTTAAAGGCCTTAGTTCATTCCTGGGGCTTTCCTGTTCTGGGAGATGTCGCAGGAAGCCTGGGAGACTGACATCGCACGGAAGGCAGGGTTTGGAGCTTCAAAGTTCAGGGTAGGGTTTTGGGTTGAGGGTTTAGGGTCGGCCTTAAAGTTCATGTTCTAGGGATTCTAGGGCTTAAAGGCTTAAAGATGCTTAAAGGCTACGTGAGAGGATTCTGACTTGTGTCAGGTCGGTACACAGGAAAAAAGGGTTCTTTATCGGTGTTCTACGGTTTTTTTTTTCGCAAGGGTTTTATTTATGCGAGCCTTACCAGGCTGGTATAACATCTTGTAGGGCGGGTGGCATTCGGGCTTTCAGTACGAGGTGTTAGACTTTGAGACTTTAGGGTTTGCTGGGCAAAGTGCAGGGCCTGTAGTTTTTAAGATTTTCCGGGTTGGGGGCTTACAGTAAGTGTAGGATCGCTAGGGAGCTTAGGAAACTGCTGACTGTGTGCGTTGTAAGTTGGATTTCGTCGTAAAGATGGCAGCAGTAGGTCGCAGAGATCAGTTTGAATTGGTTTGGGGCTCACGGGCTTAGGCTTTTTAGGGGCTGAGGGTTTAAGGGCTTTAGGTCTTGATGAACCCCTCATGCAAGCCCTAAACCCTGAACCCCCTAAACTCCTAAATCCCTCAACAAGTCTTCATGACAGGCGCATCTCGAGTATACCCCCGACTGGCAGACACAGCTGAAGCAGCTCCTCAAAGATCGAAACATAAGCGAGTCGTCGGAAGGCCGCCCAGCTGGGTATAGGGTCGAGGATGATGGCTGTTTGGGCTTAGAGCTGAGGGTGTGGAGGTTGAACCGTAGTTCGTGCTGGGGTCATGTGTCTGATGATGTCGTGTCGCTTCGTTGGAACTCTTGTTGTACTAGCGGTTTGCAGAGCTTTCTGGCGTCAGTGCTTCAATTCTTTTACATAGCTGCTGTTCCGGTAGCAAGCTCTTGCTGCTGCTCCCGGTGCTGCGCTTGCTGCTGCAAAAACGACTACCGACTACTGTGTTGGCCTCTACGTCTGCTATTGTTGCAGCTACTGCAGCTGCTGGTGCTTCTGGTTCTACTTCAAAACTATTGCCAGTGATCACATCAGAGTCTGAGCCAGATTTTCGGATCAGTAAGTACTAGGTAGGCCTTTGGGGCATTTTATATTGTCCCTTATTGGGCTTAATAGGACACTATTTACAATATTTTTCAGAGGCTTAAAAGGGCCAACCTAGGAGGCCTTCCAGGTTGTTTGCTTCTGGCGGTCGTACTGGCAGCTGACCCAGCCCGGCCTCGCTCTGCTGCCATACATGGGTAGTTGTCAGAATTATGGCCCTTTTTGGGTACCCTAAATATTAGGTGCCGTAATACCCCAAAAAGGGACCCTAATGTTTACAACCACCTACATGGCTGCTGCTTTGAGCCCAGATTCAGGTAGTATACCTGCGTGGTATCTCCTGTAAGTCTATGATAATCAAAAGCAGATGCAAATAGCCCACTGCACTTTACAAACCCTGCTTGCTAAGTGTCCATAGACCGTCTAAGCATGGCCATCTTTAAAACAGACATATTCGCTCCAGACACTTGCCTGGCTAATCGTAGTACAGGAGCCTAACTAATTACCAATACTTTTGGGGGGGTTCTATTCATTATAGTATACTAAGCCCCAAAACCCTATTCTAATATTAATTAAGGCCGCGACATTAGGTTCAGCCTGCCTTTAGAATCACCCGAAGAGGCCCATGAACTTCATTCTCCCAAGCTCCATAGGGTGTCATTCGCTAAGTGGCATTTCAAAGTCCTAAGCCCGAAACCGCGAGGGGATGCCTACGTCGTGAAGAATGCCCAAGACAAAGAAGTGAAGACGGCAAATCTGGCATCTGCGCATCTGGGACACATTCAGAAGTCTGACTCGTGATCTAGACCTCAAAGACCAAGCCATGCGCCCTCAACCCTAGCACCTAAAGCCGGGAGCCATCTCAAAGCCCCAAAATCCCGAAGTCGGAGCCTCTCTCGCTTTTGGACGTTGCTGCCTCTTTGGCATTTCGGTTGTCTTGGGGGCTTTTTCGTAATAACTCCTGCCATAGAATCTAGAGTCTCATCATGCTGAAGGAAAAGTTTTGGGATTGCGGTGGCCGTTCATAGAGCAGTAGTAGCGGTAGCAGTAGCTGTAGTAGCAGGAGTAGCAGCAGCAGCAGCACTACTACTGCTACTACTGCAAAACTACTACTACTACTACTACTACTACTACTACTACTACTACTACTACTACTACTACTACTACGACTACTACTACTACTACTACTACTACTACTACTACTACTACTACTACTACTACTACGACTACTACTACTACTACTGCTACTATTACTATCACCACTACTTCTACTACATGTACGGATGGTAGCGACCACGACCAAGACGATGGCGACGACGGCGTTGCGAAATTGTAGTTTGCCAGGTTCGGGGTTCGTGCCCTTGGCTTCAAGTAGTCGGCCTCAAGCCAGGAATTCGCCAACCCAGGACCAAGATGCTCAGCCTCAAATCGCAACCTTAAGCCCTAAACCCGATGAACCCTAAACCCAATAAACCCAATAAGCCCTAAAAACCTTTAACAGAACGAACAGGCAGCTCTTGAAAACCCCAGGCCTCAGACCAGAGCCTCGGCCGAGGTCAGAAGACAAAAAAAGAGAGAACTTCCCACTGAGAATCAATTTCCAGCGCATCAAGTTGGCGAAGATGGCGCAGGCGTGAATCGGATCTTTTTGGGACGGGTGTAGTGGATAGGTTTCGGTGATGTGCCTGACGGACGGCATGCTGGACTAGGGCTGCACAGTCTAGTCTAAGTTGCAGGATGTGAGTGGTGCGCCAGGGTCTGAGACATCAAATTTCGGAGATTGTTGCTGGGCATATGTTCCTAGGCTGTAGCTTAGATTTGGGTGAAAACTTAGACGACGTGAAGCAGCTGTTGCTGTGCTTGGGACGCCTTGGATGACAAATTGTTTGGCAGTACACTAGGACTGTCGCTGATACACTTAGATACAAGTATAGTATGCATGTATGTATGTAGTATGTATGTTTGTTTGTATGTATGTACTGTGATGCATGCACGCATGGATGGATGCATGCACGTGCACATGCATGTGTGCAGGTGTGTATGTGTGTGTATCCATGTATGTATCTATGTAGGTATGTATCTATGTATCCATGTATAATGCAAGCATATGTTCGTGTATGTGTACTGTATATATATATATATATATGTCCTTGTAATCTTACAAACCGGCGCACGCACACACACACACACACACACACACACACACACACACACACACACACACTCTCTCTCTCATAAACAATACAGACAGACGCCTACATAAGCCGGCGTGCATACATAACCAAACACATACATACATCCGTCCATAGATGCATACATAGATGCACATATGTGTGTGAATATGCATGTCTGTGCATGCATGCAAGCATTCATGCATGCAAGCATGGGTGCACGGATGTTTCCATGTTTGTACGTATGCATGCAAGCGTGAACGCTTGCATGTGTGTATGTATGAGTGTTTGTTTGCATGTATGTACGTGTGTTTGACTGCGCGGATGCTTGTATGCACACATCTCTACATATACACAAAAGCATATCCTATCTTATACAACTTTGTTCACGCATTCATCTTCCATTGGTCCATGTTCGTGTTTATATTTACGTGTATGCATGCATGTACTGCTGTGAGATTACATCGTTGGTGCCGGATGGTTGGAATCTCGGCTTTCAACTGTACGATTCATGTAGCGAGGTTCAGATCCTGTGGGTGTTCGTCATCCCTTGTGGAGTGGGGTGGTGTTTGGCCAGAATGCCAGATTCGGCCAGTTGAAAGAAGGATTCGGTTTGGGGTTTCAGATCTAGGCGCCCGAAGCCCTAAACCCCAGCAGCCCTTTCAGGCGTCAAGTGTTGCCAGTCCCCGCTTGAGTAATTATGCAGACTCTCCGGTACTGAAAGGTTGCCCTGTCGACTTAAGAGCGCGCCCAGGAATGATATAAATGATGACTCGGCGCTGTACACTTGTATATTGGAGGCCATCATGCCATGTTTTTCTTACATCACATTGAACTGTACTATGCTGCATCACGACCTTTAACCCCACACCCTAAACTTGTATATTGTGTTGAATTTTGCTGTATACTAGTTTATGCTGTACTTTTATTGTCATATCTTGTATTATGTTCTATTATTTTAACATTTTTGTATTATACTGTTGCCAGGAGAAGGGCGCCCAGACGGGTTCCGATAAGCCGCCGCTCACATTCTGGCTGGACCAGTGACCCGGCCGGCTTAGGATACGGCTTTAGGATGTTTTGGATTTTGGGTTTTGCGGTTGAGGGTTTAGGATTTTACTGTAGGGTTTAGGCTTTGTAGGTTTGGGGCAACGGTGTTTAGGCCTTAGGGTGTTTTGGAGTTTGAAAATGTGGTGTAGGTAGCCTTGGGTTTATACAGTTTATACACAGTTTAAATAATTCAGGGCTTATAGTTGCACGTTCTTTGCCTCGATTCGACCGTTGCACGATTGTTGGCGGTCGTATGCGATACAATATTGCTAGGTATTGCCGTCGGCGTTGCGGTGCGGTTCGATACCAACCACACCAGCCACACCCCTTCAAGTCCTCCAGCCAAACCCTCGGTGGCCCAGCCACGACGAGCTCCGATACCACGCTGCGTTGTCATGCGGTGTCGGTTTCTGCGATGCAGTTTTCTGCGACGAGGCTATAGGTCAGTGACGATACCGATGCGATGTCGATAAAAGTAGCGTTGCCACACCTAATTTATGAGTTAATTACTAGTATTCATTTTCTCGGGTCTAGATTGTTTAGGGTTTTGAGCACTCACTCGTATTTGGCGCACGACAGCAAACCATCATCTGACGAAGGCACTGTGCCGCTGCGTAGATTCCATACTCGACGACAAGTCAGGATATCCAGTGCAGCGATAGACGCACTTCTGAAGCAGCTTTTCCAGTATTCGGTCTCAGAAAGACTCGGATGTTTGACACCCTAAACCCCAAACCCTAAACCCTAAACCCTAAACCGTTTAGATCCTTCTTCATCCCCGAGCCCGGAATCCTAAAGTCCAGAGCCCTAGAGCTGAAGTTCGGGGCTTCGGGGCTTCGGGGTTTAGGCTTTAGGGGACTCGGGGTCTGAAATTACATCCCCTAACCTGGGCTCTTGTCAACGGGTTTGAGCAAATTTCCATAATCAGGAAACCATATTATCATTTGCTATAGATCTTTGTTGTCTTGAATTTGGACTCATTTCCTTAAGAACCTAGTAACTGCCCAGGTTCAAGGAAAACCAGCACTACATCGCTAACGCCAGCGGGCAACGCCTAGTCTACATGGGCGACAGCACGCGCCATGACTTGCAGTTCATGTCGGAGAGTTCAGGCTTGAAGGGTTGTTATTTGGGTGGTTGTCAAAATTAGGGTCCCTGTTTGGGCACCCTAAATATTAGGTGCCGTACTATAATAGGGACCAAAAAAGGGACCATAATTTTGACAACCACCCAGTTTATGGGCAAGATCAGGGCTTTAGGGTTTAGCTGGGGTTTGTAGGTTCAGGCCCAGCATCTAGAAACAGCAGAGGATTCACTATGTAAGTGATTGTTTTCCAAGGGAGGTTGAGGTTTCGGACCTAAGTGTGCAGAGTGGAGTATGGTCTGAGAACTGGTCCTAGTATGCCCTTAAAGTTGCTTGAAGCAGCAGACCACCCCAACACCCTGTTCTAATTTGCAAGGCCCGCAGTGGTACCCTACTTTGCCTTGATGTACGTGGTTAAAGCAGCCAGACACCCCAAGCACACTCATGCTTTACGAATCGTAGGTTTGGAGATCCCAGACCACTCGAGGTCAGCATGCCATATCGAAGATTGTATGAGCTTCACAAGCTGGAAATACGAGCCGTTTGCAATCCTGACGATCCTACAAAGAATTCAACCCCAAACCATTTGCAGTTCTCCAAAACTTACATCGCTTCGTAAAGCCGCAAAATCGAGGATCTACCTGTGGCTCCAAGCTCCTACTGCTTCAGGGGTGCTACGGGGGTAAGTACAGGGAGCCATTACCTTCGACTTTGTAGGGTTTGGTCTGCGAGGTGAAATCTACATTTACAGACATCGGGCGGAGATCAAGAACCTCTAAACCCTAAGCTTAAACCGTGAACTTAAACCCAAACCCTAAGCCGTGTTTTTGCTTCAGTGGCCAGGTTTCTGGGCATCGAGGGCTGGAGGTTTCCTAGTTCAGGCTTCAAGACGGGGCTTGGGGGCTGCGAGGGTTTAGGCTCGAGGGTTCAGGTTGAGCCTTTAGGGTGTAGGTTTTAGGGTTTAGACTTGTGGGTTTATATGGTTTATAGGCTTTAGGGTGATTCTAAGGCATCTAGTGTTTCATTGTCCTGGTGTACTAATTCCTACGACTCTGCGTCGCCAGACCTTTCGGTTCACAGTTGGAGGTCCAAATCAGTTCCCTTCACTCCGCTTGTGGCAGCCCAAGCCCTTAAACCTATGAAGACAGACGTAAACCCTGTTGTTCAAAGTTCGCTTTCGGGTGGTCTAGGGCGCCCCCAACCCGAAACCTTCATCCCACAAAACACCCGGGCCTAAAAAGTAAAGAACAACTGACGGCGGCACAGGCGCCTCTGTCGGGGCTACCTGATTTAGGAGCCCTTCCGAAAACGGTGACTGCAATCGGTGGATCCTGAAAGCCTAAACCCACGATCCCTATATGGGTGGCTGTCAAAATTATGGTCCTTTTTTGGGTCCTTGTTATAATACGGCACCTAATGTTTAGGATACCCAAAAAGGGGCCCTAATTCTGACAACTACCCGTATCCTTCTAAACTGAAAAGCTCCCAGTTCCTTCTTCGGCTGGATGAAGATGGGCTTCGGTGCGCAGGCACTTCAGGGCTCAGGGAGCTTCGGGTCTGGAGAACTTAGGGATTAGGGCTTGGGGTCTAGGACTTGCGGCTTTGGGGCTCGAAAAGCAATCCTAGAAAGTTGGAACATGGATGAGGGATGCTTTTTTGCAGGATTCCCTGTGCTTTCCCATCTTCCATCTCACCTGGGTTTCTATACAATGAGAAGCCTGAATAGATAGTGGTGCTACAGCCGAGATGGCAAACTCTCTAACTTTGTCTCAGGCTGGTGAGTGTGAGTGGATGGACGAGCCGGAGGAGGGCTGGGACGGGTCCAGCCGGCCAGCTTAGGGTTCGTAGGATAGGAACACAGCTACCTACATGAACCAGGGTGGTTTATGAAGGTTCACAGGAGTTCACAGGATGTTGAGAGTCCAGGCGGCTTTGTATAGGAGTGTCCCGGCCTTTGTGTAGCAGTGTGCTTGCACGGCACTGCATGGGTTTAAAGGTGTCCGCGCTCCCCTCTCTGCCCGTCATGGTATCCCGCCTCGCTACTTGTATGTGGGGAGAAGCAGTGCAGTGTCGATCCACCGGCAGAAGGGCTCAAAGCATTGGCATGCTGAAGTTTTTGATGACGGTTGCAAACTTTCAGGTTTGTAGGGTGCAAAAGGGTAACCATCTTGAGTGCACAGGATCAGGAAAGCGATCTCCTTCACGTATAAGCAAGATGTTTACCTGTCGAACGCCATAAGCCGTTGTTCAACCGCAAGAGAATCCTATGCAGCGCTTCCCAAGCTTTCTTCGTGAAGAAAGTCCTGAAGTTCGATGCACGGCAGTAACATCTGAAAGAACCCTTCGAATCCATAGACTCATCGCCGCATTCTGCCCCGTCACCCTTATAAACGCTAAGCTTAACGGCTTAACCCCTATATTCATCCTTAGATTGAAAATGGGCAACCTCTCCCCGAAAAGAGAGGCCCCGGAATGGTGTCAATCGTTTTTCAGATGCCAGGTTCGACAAGATGTTAGACCAAGAAGGCCGGATGAGTTTCGGGCTTCGGGGTGTCGGGCATCGGGTTTAGGTCTTTAGGGTTTTAGGGGTTTACGGTTTTGAGATTTTGTGTGGCGTTGTTAGTGCTTCGTTCCTAAACTGCTGTGAATGTCATAGGCCGCCGCTGCGCTTTGGGATGATGGGATCCAAACCGTGGACCCAAAGACCCCAAAGCCTAAAACCATGGTGAAGCAACATGAGTGATGCTAAAACCTTAAAGCCAGAATGGCAACGCTCTAAAGGGAACTCCAGAAAGTTGGAATATGGATTAATGGTAGGATCCCCTATAATTTACCTTAAAGGGGTTACGATAATGATATTCCAACTTCCTGGCTTCTACTGTAAACCGTAAGCAGACAGAATTGTACGAGTCGGAACAACATTACCAACATCATTCCTTCTGGCTCCTCAGTATTATTGCATTCTGGGTTCAATATAGCCATTATAGCTCCTGTACTAGGCTCTCCTACTATACTCTTAAATACAAAGATATTATAAAAAGCTATATGCCATCCATGTACTATACCCAGAGGCCCCATAGTAGTTCCTTGTTGGGTATACGAGGGTCTATATACGAACCCCAAACAGGAACTGCTTTGGGGCCTTTGGGTAAAGTGCCTCTTCTGGGTTCCAGTCCCAGGTCCGACAGGCAAGAAGTATGCCGACAAGTGGCCGTGCCCTCAGTTTGGGTTCCAGGGTGGGTTTAGGTACTAGGGTTTAGGCATTGGGGTTTAGGCATGTAGGGTTTGATGGAGTTTAGGGATTTAGTTTAGGGAGGGCTTCCTGGTGAGGGTGTGTGCTTCTGTGGTTGCGGGCTTCGGGTGTCTAGTGTGACTAGCTGTAGTTCTGTCAGGTGTGTCCGACGAGTCAGAGGGCCGGCTGGTCAGGCTCGGGATCCACAACCCGTTAATCAAGGAATTTACCGGGGCCCACATGGAGCTCGCTTGCTCTCTCTCTGGCGGCTGGATGGCCTCCATGGCGAGTCACTCCGCTGGCCACGCACCTTACGACCTCGCGGCGCGCGATCGGCGCGGCGAGCCAGGACCCTCCGGCCTCATCCGTTTCAGACCCACCGCTGTGGCACAGCGCGACCTCTCACTCCTCGACAGTTGCCTCATGAACGGAGTCAAGGATGGCATCGATGGACCTTGTTGGGCGCTGGGCGACGCTCCCCTCTGTACGCCCTCGATGTTCGTCCTCAGGCGCAAGCAATGCGCAGTCGGCACGGACTGGAAGCGTTTCGACCAGAGGGTGCATCTACTGCCCTGGCCTGGACCGTCGGGGCCTGCACCAGGACCCCCCAAGTACCCTTTAATAAAGCCCTTATGGTCCTTAATAGTGGGTATTTAGGGTATCTTAGAGGGTAGTTGGGGGGTCCAGGTGCACCCTGGGCCAGGCAATGTGGTTGGCGGCCAGATACAGCAGGCCCGACTCAGGCGGCGACCCAATGGCGGGCCACTTACAAGCTACGCCAACCAGTTGGGGGTCTGGGTTGCTGGCCACCATCCTGGAAGTCCTGAGAAAATGGATCTCAAAACCCGCCCCTCCGAATTTGAGAAGGGTTAGACAAGGGGTTGAGGGTTGCTGGGTGGTGCTTACGGTCTAAGGTCATGCAGTTGGGATTGCATAGGCTTTCCCAACCCTTCTGTAAATTCAAGGTCACAGGTACGTATTTCGTTGTAGTATCTTCGGGTGTTTCCGGTTTAGGGTGCTGGTGTTCTTCAGCATAGTTTCGCCGGAGTTTTGACGTCTATAGGGTTTGCAGGCAGCAACGTAGTTGGGTGGTAGCCGGTCGCACACAAGCTGACTGCTTTAGGAGTTCGCTGAGAGACAGTGTCCGTATGGCGCGGCGAACAGCACAATCTATGGACGTCAATCGGCTCTTTTCCTTGATCAGAATGCTGCGTGTCCAGTCATTCATGAATGAGAGGAGCAGCACCAGGATTTCACTGGCATGCCCCCCTCCCCCGCAACTAGAAGAGATCAGGAACGGTTTCAACTTCTTTCTTTAACTCCTCCCTAGAGTCCTGAAGAGGTGCAAGTCCTTCTGACTTGCGCTTCCGGGCTGAACGCATGTTCTCGTCCTCCACTATGCGCCACTGGTGCTGCATGCGATAGTAAAGCTCCAGTTCTTTGTGCTCGCCTGTTTTGGTGAGTGCATTGGCGAGCTGGGCTTCTGAGTGTACCCATCTGATGGCAACACCGGTGGATCCTTGGGACTCCTTGAGGCTCAAGAGCTCGATGTTGGATCGTTTCTCTGCTCCATTGATGCTCAGGGTGGCTGTGTTGAGCTTGTCGTATACGTTCCTGGAGTCGGTCACGACACATCCTGGTACGCGACCAACTACTTGATCAGGTTGTCGTAGATCTACCTGACCGTACATCATTTCGCTCCACTGGTAGCGGATGTAGTACAAGGCGTCTTCTCCATTCACGGCGGCAGCTGTCTCAGCTGCACCTGGGCTACGGCAGGACCTGTCGATGCGTGTAGAGTGCCACGATATGGGGCTTATAGGACAGACCTCTCCTTTCATGAGGTCACCGGTGGAGGCTCCTATGAAGATTCCCTGGGTGCTTCCCCCATCAATGCGGTTCCTATCCGAAGCATCCACCCACGCGAAGAAGTGCATCTCAGAAGACTGTCTAGTGATTAGCATAGCATGATCCTTGCGCTGCTTCACCTGCTCGAGTAAGAGATTGGCTTTCACCAACGTGTCCACTGTGGACTGATTGACCTCAGAGAGCAACAGTCCAACGGAGGCCGAAACGTGTGGGGCAACTTGTTGCGCGTGCCAGCTCAGTCCTCCAAGAAGTGCTCTTAATTTGGTTTTCTCATGATCCGTAGTGGGGGCTTTCCGGGCCTTCTTTCGTGACGAGCTCACATGTATCATGTCAATGTTATCCACGTATTTGGGTTGGGAAAGCCGAAAACCCTGCTCACAGGCCTCCACTTGAACCCCACATTGGACAAAGGAATCCTGATCCCAATCTCCCCATTTAAACCGTTCTTGGATCTTCTTCAGCATCGCCTGCCATTCAGCATCTTCATCATCACCACCGAACATGAAATCATCAACATGTCCAGAGATCATGCCTCGAACCTGGCCATCTTTTCGCCACATCCAAGCGCACGAATCAGACCACAAGCGTTCAAATCCTATGCTCTCCAAGAACTCGGCGACTGTCTTGTACCATTCAAGAGGTGCATCAACTAAACCATAGCACGCACGCCGCAACCTAGTGATTGAGCCCGTGGGCAGTCCCATGGCCTCGCAGATCTCGTCGCAAGGGAGACAGTAGAGCTCAGAAGGATATTCGCGGCCTTGAAGGAATGCTCCACTCACATCGCCTTTTCGCAGCCGCCAACCTTTGTTAGCACAGAGTTGCAACATTAGCTGTCTGGTCTGACGAGTCATGACTGGAGCCGTAGTTGCACGATGTTCATATCCAGGGTCTTGGTATCCAAGTAGCACGGCTCGTGCCTTAGGTTTAAGGCTCCCGTCTTCTTTCATTTTCCATGTGAGAATCCACCGCATACCCACTGCCTGTTCTTTGTTGGGCCTCACTCCTTCTGGTAAGGCTTCAAATGCTTTGGCCGCTATAAAGTTCTTCACCTCAATGCTCTTGGCTCCTTGGAACTTTTCCCGATCTTCGGGAGATAAGCGGCGCTCGCTCACCTCAATGGCCTTCCGCTTGAAGGCCCCAACAAAGTAGCCGTGTAGGTCGCGAGAGGCTTGTTCCAAGCCTCGCCGGCTCTCTGGGAGTGGGATTTCCACTTCCACCGCGGCACTCTCGTCGGTCCAGAAACTGGTGTGTTCAGCTATCCAGGCTGACTGGGGAACCTTCTCCCACCAGTATTGCGTGTTGACATGTAGGTCCCAGTCGGGTTCTGCTTGACCCACTCGTCGCACATTGCTGGGTTGGCTGGAGCCGGTGGCCTCAGCTGGCTCCATCTCTTGGTCCTCTGGATGCAGTGCGGCCGCGGGACGCTTGGTCGACAATCGGCGCCGGGTCGGTTGGACCTCTTGTTCAGGATCTTGTGCCCTCCGCCACTCCTCGGTGGTGGGGATCTCTGCGCTGATATCTTCATACTGGTTTCCGCCGACTTCTTCCGCCAGACGCGTAAAAGTCCACGGAGTTTGCTGGTGCTCCGTCAGTGCCTCTACCAGCTCCTCCCTCTGGCTTGCTGGCCGCAGTTGCTCCGGGCTGCACTTAATGAGGCTCCTTCCGCGAACACACCAGATGGCATGACCTGCGCGACTGTGTCCTGCCTCATCTGCTCGAGACTCCATGGCCAGCACACGAGCCGGGCCAAGGAACCGTCCTTGGTTGGTTCCAGGATGTTTCTTGCTCTTGTTGGACTCTTGTGTCCTCCAGAAATACACTAGATCGCCGGGCTGGTATGCCTGTGTAGGTCGTGCTCGAGAATGCAGAGCCCTCTGAATGCGCTGCTCTGCCATCCATTCTGCCAGGCCCTTTTCTGCTTCCGCGCGCAATCGGGCTTCCCTTGCAAAATCCTCCAGGGGACGATTGAGCACCGGTTCGGGTGCCACAGCTTGCAAAACATTCACATGGCTCCCTGTAACATCGGGGCTGTGTCCCAGAATATGTTGCGTAGGAGAGAATCCACGGACCATTTCTCTTTGATTGAACACCGACACAGCGATACTCAAGAGCTCCTCTGGTCCCAGATCTTTGTCTGTCTGGCTCATCTTTGACATCAGTTGTTTGATTCCCTGGATGGCTTGCTCAGCCACTCCAATCTGCCAATGTGCTTCTCCAGGAATGATGTCTAAGTAGATGCTATGGCGATCACAAAACCCTTCTACAGCTTGCGCCCGAAAACTTCCTGCTGGATCGAGCCTCAACGTCTTTGGTCGTCCGAAAGTCTGGATCCATCCTTCATTGAGGAAATTCAGGCAGGTAACGGCGTTGGGCGCTTGAGCTTTACCTTTGGTGAGGATCTTAGCCATCTTGAATCGGGATCCCTCATCCACAATCACCATAAAGTTCTGTTGTTCTCCTGAGGTAGGATGATGCCAATGCCCTATATCGCACGTCAAAGTATGAAACTTTGGGGGAAGCGGCTCCAATGAAGCCACTTGTCGAGGTTGCACTTTCCGCTTCTCATCACACACGGTACATCTAAAGGACTTTGCAAGCTCAAGGACCTTGGGACTCGCGTTCCTACGCTTCAGAGCCTCTACCATGTGTCGAATGCTTCCATGTCCAGTTGCAGCATGAAGAAGGTACAGCTTTTTCTTGATGGCTTCATCTTGCTTGTTGTTCTGGGCCTTGAGGGGCCCATTCCATGCTTTGCCGCTACGAAGCACATGCGCTGACTGAACAGTCTCCGGTGGAGGGCCTGGAAATCCTAAGCTTCGGAGGTGCTCTTTGAGGCCTTCATCAACCTGTATCCAACCCCTGCTACTGTAGGCACTCACCGTCAACCTATCGCCTTTCCAATTCTGAGTACCATGCCACTTCCTACCGGAAAACTTCTGAATCTTCTGAAACACATCCAACTTTTGGCCCTGAACCCAATGTCCCTTCAGAAGTCGCTTACTGGAAATTCCCTCAGAAGCGTCCCCTTCTGAATGTTCCACCCACAACTCACCTTCTTGGTAGTTTCCGAGTCCTACTACATAGTTGGGGCTTTCGGGAAGGTTGTGCACATCCTTGTGAAGCTCTAAGTGACAATTATCGTTGACGACAAAAGAAGTACAATGCACAACTTCAGGGCTCCAATGTTGAAGATAGCGCAACACATACCTACAAACCCTGGGAAAGGCTTGGCTGTGTTTTGTGACGCCATAATGGTTTCCGTGGGAATACAGTCCGAAAGCAATGTAGCGTGGCTTGGTTTCGCGAATGGGGCCTCGGTGTTGCTTGGAAGGCTTGAAGGGGAGCTGCTTCAGGAGTTGTCTACAAGCTTCGTGCTGGAAGTTGGTGTTCTGGAGGAGAGCCTGGGCCTGGGACTCAAGGCTTCTTGTTGCCTCGGAACTACACACAAGGGCCTCCTGAGGGTCTTCCAACTCGTTTCCGAATCCTTCAAGCCCTGAAGCCTCTGCACCGGTTTCCGTCGTGCTCTCTGAACCCATCTCAACTCTTCCCCGAAGGCAACTCGCGCACGCAACTGGAATCCTCATACCTGTCGCCTCTCCACATGTACAGAACTCTCCTTCTCCAAAGCCCTCTAAAAGCTGCGACATCCCTGCGCACTCCTGTAATGCCCCTTGATGGGACAACTCCTGGGTGACTGCTCGTACCGCTCGGGCGACATACTCGGTGGTGTACTTGCTTGGTCCTATCAGCGTCCTTCCTTGGCAATTACCATGTTTGTACTGTTTGTCACATCTACATGGTAACGACATGTCTTGAGCCAGGCGCTTGTTGGTTGTCATGATTCGCCATCCCTTTTGAACTAGCTTATGCTCATGAACGTCTCTCAGGTTGACAGCGCATCCCTTGGTGACTGCAGACAACATGTTGTACTTCGTGGCAAACTGCTGGCACACAGGTAACCGCCAAGCTTGATTGCGCTCAGACAGTTCCACCGTAACATG